AAAAAGTCAAATGTAAAAAGTAATAATAATAATAATAACAGTAATAATAAATATGTATCTAATAAAATGCATACTGAACGCATTTACTCATTGACTAATAATTCTTCAATTAAAAAGAGAACTTATCTTTCAAGTTCAATAATAAATAGATTAACTCGAGTTAGTCAATCTACAAACAATAATATTCGTATCTCTCATCACTATAACGCTTTGAAATATCGCAAGCTACGAAGGAGAAGAAGAATGAGAGATTCTATTAGGAATTCAAGATCGATTTGTACCGGAAAGGATACAGGTGTAGTCGAATTAAAATCTCCATTAGGTGAATCAACTGATTTAACATTATCTTATAGACCACCTGTGACGGATGAGTCATTGTCATCTATGAATTCCTCTGGCTCTTGTAATTTACAAAGTGTTTTGACTAACTCTACAACTACACTTCAAGCACCAGTTGTATCTACACAAAGTAAAAACTCACGTGCAATACGAATCAATGTAAATCAGCAACATCGTGACGAAACTGGTGAATCTACTTTACAATGCCCATTACTTATTTCAAATAGTTTATGTACAGATAGTTGTCAAAAGTCATCTGTAACTATTGATGAGAATAGCATAGTTGAGGGTAGTTTGGCTTCTTCAGCTGTGTCATCAGTCACACTAGCATCCTGCTCATCATGTGGTTCATCTCCTCAATCATCCAATTCATCCCGGTCAACTAATCTTCGATCCAATTCTTCAGGTGTAAAATTAAGACAAATCAAATCAGATGATCGAGTCAATACTAGACGTTCTTTACGACCGCGTGTCTCTCGTGAACATGCTTTCACACAAGATGCAAATAATTCAGCTGACTCTTTTAGTCTCACATCAGAGGATCCGGATACAAACAATAGTGGAATTAATTTAAGAGATAGAACTACGAAGTCATCTTCACGTACACATAATACTGACTGTACTAATTGCACTGTCACAGAATCATCTACTTCATCCAGTTCCCAACGATTTCGGAAACGACGTCTGCATCGATAGAATTTATGCAGTCATTTATATTGATCACTTCATTGTAATTGTCTTTCTATTTAGTCTTGGATACTTTGTCATAAATGCCCTTTTGTTACTGTGTGTATACATCGAAAATGTTTTTATTCGTATTGACTGTAAAGCTAATCTTTTTGAGAAAATATTCGGTCAGCCGTGAAAACAAATCGTTTTCAGTGCTTGATTATTATCACTACTATTACAGGATTTTAAGTTAATCATATTTTCTTGGTTCTTTCTTCTCTTATTGTCTATGTATATGCTGCATGAAATAGTATGGACGACGGATCCAACAATATTTCTTTTACTTTTCTATTCCATTTTCTTGTTTATCTTTCTTTTTTTAATCTCAGTTGTCCTCTTTTAAAATGTAGAGTTATCCACTACTTACTGTAGTAGATTTTTCGTTTCTTGTTACTTTTCAGCCCTTCTTAACCTATTTCTCATATTATACTTACAACACAGTTATACTACTTATCAGTTTGACCTTGTAATCTGTAACTGGAAGCTTTTTATAAGCGCATTGTATATATATATATATATATATATATATATATATATATATATATATGTATCTATATCAACCTATACGTTTCATTTATTCTATATTTTCTTGTTTCAATTTCCAGATTTTTTTGTACATGTTAATCTCTTTTTTCCCATTATCATTGATACAATTTATTATTTTATTTCAAAAGTTAAAAGTTTATCTTCACGAAAGTGATAATTCCAACTGTATATATGTAGATGTTTGTACGTTTAACTGCATGGATACGTATATTTTACTGTATGGTGAAATAGATACATATGCACTCTTTCTTATCTCTTCAATATTAAGTAGGTTTCAAATGAATATAAATATTTGTATAGTTATTGGAATATGACCAAATACATCTCAAAATCAAAATTCATTTTTTCACCTTATGAATCGTAAATTTTTATTTTTAAAGAAAAGTAATTTTTCTGCTTTTCTATTTCTGTCGTTCTTTGTGAATTATGTCTCTGGTTAGTTAATTAAACCAGTGATAGAGAAAAAGTTTTCAAGTTGTCATATATACATATATACGTCTATCTTTGTTAGTGCTCCAATTACTACTCTTCACTGCTACTGTTATCATAGTTAAGTTATATTAATATTTTTTGCTTTTCTAAAGTGTTTATTTTTCTTTTGAAGAATAGTGATTAATTTGACATATGAATACTGATAATCACTATGACTATTGTCCTTATTGTGCAACATAAATTACTACATCATTCTACTGTATTACTGACTCACTGGTGGTTTCTATTCTCATGTTTTTATTTCATATTTTTCTTTTATCAAAAATTCGAAAGCAGCAAAATTAATTACTCATATATATATACTCCTGTTTTTTTCTATTGTTCACGGGTTCGAGTATATTTGTTACTTCGGCGGAAAAATAACCAACCGTAGAATTCAGACTACAGTCATAAGGTGAAAGTGAGAACATACTACAAAATAAATGTAGTTTTATCGATGTCAGCAATAATAGCAACTGTAATTCCTTGTTCAGAAATTTGAAGAAACTTAAAGTTTACATAATCAATCATGCTTTTAAAACACATTTCATAAATATTGTTCGTTCTTGGTAATCATAGTCAGGAATTGTGTTAACTATTTAGTTAACTAGTCAACTCCAAGCGTTCTTGTGTAAATGCCACAATAAAACCTTAATATATTTGTAATATTCAGTATGTTGGTCTATTTTTTATGGTTCTCGATAAGTAAGCATGAAGTTGTAGTATTATACTGCCTAGCACTAAATCATGTATTCATGTACGTGTAAAGATTTGGGAAGTAATTCGTGTTTTTCGTGATGAACCACTGGTTCATGTTCGAGATCTTCAATTATACTTGAATGTACATTAGGGTAGTACCGGTGCACAGTACAAGATATATGAATAGAAATTTTTAATTCAGAGAAAGACTTGAACTTAGTTCTCCTTTTAGTGACTATAAAATTGACTGGATATTTTGCATCACTGATTTATAGATAAATAGGACATCGATTGTATAACTATCAAATTGTTCCCCAGTTCAGTGTTTTATCACTATGAGTTTAAGAGAAAGGCTTATCATTGACAACTATGGTTTGATGTATTAACCGTCAATGTTGCGGTAGATAAGTAGCTAAAATATTAACATGAGTATGGTCACGTATCATACTAAGATAGAATATTTCTACTGACTTGTCATATCGGCTCCATTGACTGATAAAGTAACTCGGTTGACGAAAATGGCTGAATGAAACTGGTCACTAGTCCCAAAAGAACCACTGACTAACCAGTTGCTTATATAATGAACCTAAAACCCGTCATATTCAAAATAATCAAGATTACTTACTACATGTCATTCTTGATGAATGAAAGTGGAGATCATAAGTGTATGGAAGACGTTAGATGTAAGGGTTCTGTTTTAAATTTCAGCTTTTCAAATCTGGATAATTCCAACGTCTCGCCCGGTAAACTGGTCTGAGCATCAGATAAATGACCGGAATTACCGAAGATAAATAAGTTCTACAACAAATCAGCAACAAAATTACATTAGTTAGAAACAACGTCCACGGTTAACTTTGAAGAAGCCATGGTGCATCGTCAAGGTTCTGAGAGATCTTGATGTTTGAATAGAAATAGAATAGTGGTTGCTGGCTACGTCATGAGAGTTATTGGTCAGAAAATAAGAATATGGTCCCTTCCATCCATTCTCACCTCTACCGTCCGTGACATGACTCCAACAACAGACGTTCAATTATTTAGTCAGCTAAATTTGGATTTATCTTCAACCACTTTTAATTAACATCACGATATACTACCTAACCTACAACCTTAAATACAATTCGACGGTGTAGTTTGTTAGTCTGCCAGAGTTTTCGCAAGAACTAAATGGTTTAAAATCTTATATTGATGCAACCAGTCAGAAGACCCTCACCTTATACAATCAGGAACTATTTAAATCAATACTTTTTAAATTTCAATTATACCTCGACATAAAATTAGATTCTGTATATTTACAGTCGTTTATTGATTTTAAATGAAATAATTATAAGGTTTCCTTAATTAGTTTTATTCTATCCATCATTTAGAGGCACTCTGAAGCCTACAAAAGTTATTCAATATCATAAATAAACAAAACATCCAATCATGAATGTGACAGGAATCTTAAATACTACAATAATTCAATGAGAAGTCAGTCAGTTAAATGCGACGTAGAACGTGGTACGTATATACACCCGTTGTCATACTCCGTTAGCGCCGAGATGAATTTATTGGATTAAACCAATACAGTGGTAGAGGTTTTAACAGTAGTGGTAATAGAAAAGACTAGGCATCGAGCCTTCAGATATAGTATCCTTCGCTGTAGTCTTTTTGACTCCATGCTTAAGTAAATTAGGTTTTACATGAGGAGCCATCAGATTTTATCGTGATATAACGGAATAAACGAGGAAATCACATTTTCTTAACTTCCTTTTTTAGTTCAATAATATAATTAATTAATATTTGTTTTATTTTCGTTATGATATTTTGTACAGTATAACTTTGATTTACTTTAGTGTAATGTTTATTCTAGATAAGCTATTGTTTGTATAAAATTAACCTGAACTATGTTCGATACATAAATGAGTGTATTTTCGACAAGAATCGTTTTGTTTTCGATGTTCTTAATTGTAGTTGTTCCTCGTTTTCAAGTGTAAGTAATGGGTGACAGATATAACAGATTAGTTTATCGTAAGCTAAAACTGATATGATCCCATATATTCTTTACAAACAGTCAGTTTTGAATGAGCATACATTGTTCAAATTTACATGTACGGTGAATAACCATATACGAATCACTATTTCTTATACCTAGTTGAAAGCTATAAATATGCTTGATAAGCAATTTTTAAAGTATATTCACTACTGAAAAAATTAAGAGTATTTAAATGTATATATATTTATTAGTATACTTTATAATTATTTTGTTACATATTGTACTTATGAACAATATAATTATATATATTTATATTTAATGATGATTGTGATCTGATTATCATTTGTAGTATTTCTTGAATTTATCATTCTATATTTTGTTTTGGATTGTAAGTTTGCATGAAATCAAATTTGAAAGAAAGGAATACTATTGTTCCGCATTTTTAATAACTAGTAATATCTCAATCATTTTTTTTCTTCTCAAAAAGAATTGGAAATCTAAATAATATGTATAAAGTAATTTAGAAGTGAATTTGCATGTTTCTTAAAATAAACACATACGAAAACCTAGTAATGATGAATACACAAAAAAGGATATACTCCAAGAGACGAAGAAAGTTTACACATTAGGACAAAAAAAATGAGATAAATAATCCTTGTTTTGTTTTGTTTTTTTCTTTTTAATTTTAAGATTGAGTTGATCCCTGATGAACATTGTTTACCTAGTTTTAAAATTTAACATTGTATTATGTTCATAAAGTCTATGACAGATATTTTTTTATCAGGTAAATTAATTATCGTCTTGGAAGTCTATTTGGTCGACTACTTGTTAAATATTTTGATCCTGCTGTATTGCGAATTTCTGTATTTCCGTTATCTGTTAGCCGACGTATATCACCGCTTGATAATGATGCTTTCAATGATAAATCACCTTGTCCTCCAGATTTGCGTTCTATTGAACGTCGGTTAGTAGATGATGTATTCAATGGAATTTCAGGGCGAATAGTTGTTGGAAATTTATTTGGATTATTTATTAATTGCTGTGGTCTATTTGCTTCTACTATCAATTGATCTTTAAGTGAGGCTAGCTGAAAAAACGAATGTATAAATGAAAATTTAAGAAAATTATAAATTCAATTTTCGAACAAAAAAATTTCTCAACCGAATTAACCAAATGAAACATCAGCTTTTACATTCTAAAACTAAAACCGGATCAGAATCGAAATATTATTGTTATTATTATAAAATGGGTATAAATTTAATAAATAAAAATAATATATTTGTAATATCCTATAAATTTAATAGTTAACTCGTCTGTTTCCGAAGTAGCAGATACTCAATTCAAATTCCAAAATATATATCAGCACAACTGTGGATACACTTAACCAACGAGTCCAACATAGGATCAAATTCTTCTTAATTCTTCGTCACTAAATACTAACCGATGTCATTTTCATCTATTCCTAACTAACTAATTCTTGGAGTTCTAGGGAGAAGCCGTGACCAGTAGAGTTTAACCATGTCGGCTGTGAGGCAGTTACTCACCGAAGACAACGGAAGATGGTCACTCAACATCTTGGGTTGGTTGAAGTTAGACATTGACACCATTGGACTCCGGCTCAGTTGTCTAGAGATTAGGCGTTCGCGCGCGAGGTCGAAGGTCTTAGGTTCGAATCCCGCGTACGTGATCGTGGATGCTCACTAATCAGAAGTTCTATACTAGGACGAAACGGCCGTATAGTGCTCCCAGGTTTCCGATTCGTGATCTAACATTGGTCGGCACGTGATCTCAATCCCAATTATTATGGTGATTAAATTTCAATTTACAATTTTTTCGATATTATGCAAATCAACTACCTGAAGTACAACTTTTAAAAAGTGTCAAGTTCAGTAACTAAAAAAAACAGAATGTAAATATTATTTTTATTGTCATTATGAAATGCAATAATAAGTCTTTGAGATGGTTAAGAAGTTAATTGGAGTTTTAGTAAGGGAAAAAGCAGTTCCATATGTATTTAGATTTGTTTTTAAATCAGAAAACTTTAAGAATATTTGAATAATGGCAAGATTCTGTATATTTTCTTGAAGGAAATGAACTTTGATTTTATACACTTAGATAACTAATTCAAGTTAGAGAATATATTACAGACTATTATTGCAGATTATAAAATTACGAATAAGTGAAGAAGGATAGATTTTGCATTTGACCATTTCGATTTTCTTAGACGACGATATTCAACTTCAATTTCAAATGTATTAATCTTTAAACAACAGATTCTATTTGAATTTTTTATCTGTTCGGGCAAATAGTTTATGTTTTCTGTTACTATATTCCTCTAAACATGAAATGCTTACTTGTCTCATTTTATTTCTAATTAAATTTAGGCATCAGTGTTCCGAAAAAAATCTAATTAAACTATTGTATGTAAACAAGTATGTAAAATTTATAGTTTCGAGGTTATTTTGTTATAAATTTTATGAATATGTTATCTAAAAAAAATTTATGACTGTACTCACTGTAATTATTCAAACAACAATTTTTTAATTATTCGGGATATTAGATGGTGGGATAAAATATTTTTTTAGTTTTATCTAGATGTTAATCTGCAGTAGTATTGCTAAACGATGAATATTTCTCAATCCATCTATTTCATTCAAGATCTTCAGAATAAATCTTTCATAAATGAATTCTGCAGAATAATCCAAAGTTCTAGATCAACAGTGAATTCTTAAAGTTATTCAATATGATCCACTGTTTTCAATTAAGTCAATCTTAAAATCTTTCATTTTATGGTTAACTTCATTATACATATAAACTAGGCCCAGTCTTAAAAGTTAACTTAAAAAATAAACGAAAAAATATCACTTGATACTTATCAATGCCAAGGTTGAACTTGATATTTTCAAATAAATTGAGCATTAGGTAGGAAGTTAATTATTTATTTACTTACTCTGAAGAAGTGGCTTACATTAAGTCACCAAACTTCTGAAATACAATTTTTCTACTCTTTGCGATATAAAAAAAATATATTTCCTACAAAAATATCACTTATTTGAAATAAGTTATCGTGATCTCTTAACTCTATCTTAAACTTAAGTTCATCTTATGAAGGTAACATTTTATTTAAAGCAATATCAGTATGATAACTGGATCTTTCGTTATTATTAATAAGAATTGAAAACTTTATTTATGTAGAATTCCATATTGATATAGATAACAAAATACAGCGTTATATAATAGTACTTAGTGAATCAATTTTTAGAAAAAGACAACTATATGAAATCATACTATATTGTTTAGTCAGTTTTAATGTAAATGTTTGTGAAAAATGCATATATGAGCAAGTGCATAATAAAAATAAATATTTTTAGCAACTTCGATTAATACAATGATAGGAATATATGTGTGAAAGTGTTTTACGAATTAATTAGTGTTACATTAAATATATTGTGCATAGATAACGACTCCAACATGTAGGTTTGTCTTATTTAAGACAATGAACACATTTTAAATTGATTGAACAAAATGAAACAAATTAGCTTTAACCTACCTTAACTTTTAACTGTACAACCTTTAAAAGAAAAAGATTTTTGATTCTAGGTGTTTAGGTATAGCTTTAAAAATATGATAACTATTATCAGTCGGAATAAAATTTCAGAAGACTGAAGTATGTATAGAATTAGTGAGTGAAATGTAACAGGATCTCATTAAAAATCTAGATATAATCGATGCTATATCGCGAATTGATTGAAACTGGAAGTGTGTATCAGTGGGAGCAGACCTAGTGGTTCTAACAGTTTGCCGCTAGTTCTGAGATCCTTAGACTGACCACTAGTGGGATCGTGGGTGCACAATGCTAAGGGGCCCCATACTAAGACTATACAGCTATCCAGTGGACTCTCATTTCTAATGATACTCCAACTGAGACCAGTTTCTGGCGAATATTACTAACAGATCAAGTTAAACTTTAAAAAATCTCATTCATCTAAATGATGTAAGTGTTCATTTTTGATTAAATTAGGATCTATCAAATAAAGTCTCATAGTTATGACCTCTACATACTAAGCTACATCTACATCTGATGTGCTAATTTTTTTCTAGTTATTCAGTTGGATCGAAATTATGTAAATAAGTCTTTATTCAGAGATTAATAACTTTTTTATATTCTCTTTAATGAAATGAACAGTCATCTGACAACATATAAAAAAAGAGATTACACACCAGATTTTATCATAAAATCAAAACTCGACCAACAGAGATTGAACGTATTAATCCAAGAAAAAACATACTTTAAATTTTAATAAACCTAACAATAAGATGACGGTTGGCAGTAGTATTTCTTCGGAATATTTCTTTTGGAAATTTTTGTATTTTAATGGCTCAACTCTTTACATATTTTCAAAGATAATATTTTCTCATTACACCTTAGTAGTTACCATCATTTATTTTGTAAGAAATTATTTTTAGGACCAATTAACATACAAATTTATTAACAAGTGTTTTAAATCCCATAAATTAGATTACATATGTCGACTATTGAGATACAAATTCTAAAATGTATATGTATTTCAGCTCCAGAAGTATTCTTTTAGTGAATTCAATGATATCTGGTAATGAAATTTGAGTGATTTTTCAAGTTCAAGTTTCTACATAGTTTACTCATATTCTGTCAGATGCGCTCAGAAATATGCTTTAAATGTGCATATTAATCGTTAGACATTGATGTTAGTAATATATTCATGAATTTGATTAGGTAAACACTGTCATTTTGTTTAATACAAGTGAATATTTGAAAGCTTTAGTAAGACATTGTCGTTGTTGATTCAAAATTGTAAATCCAGTAGGTGAACAGTAGTATTTTGGCAGCGTGATTTTTTAATACATTAGTATCGCGTATTTACAATATCTAAATGATAATGCTAATTAACGCAACTTAGATGGTTAATGTATGAGAAAGCAAACCAAATTCCTCAATTCGCGAACATTTTTACGATCAAATTTGCAAATCCTAAGAATAAAAAACTACTTATTAAATTCATTTCAAAGGGTAAAGTCGATTTGATTATTTTGATGAAACTAACTGCTGGTGAAAATATGAGTTCTTAAAAAGTGATAATAAACTTTAAGCAATCAAACGAAGTTATAAAAATATTTTATACTAAGAAAGTGACACTAAGTTAATTAGTAACAAAATTATCAAATATATTCATAATGATAATGTTATTTTCATAAAGTGATAGCCACGGTAAGTTACACAAAGATTTGTTGCATGAATTTTTCTACAGATTGATAATTTTAAATGACTGTTAAGTATATTATCACCAGCAATGTAATGTCTTTCTGCTTGAAAGATAATTTGGGGAAACTGTCTATTTCAATACTTACTTGATCTTCCAAAGCTCTAACACGCTGTTTGTGGGCGCGTTCGCGTGCTTCAAGTGCACGTTCAGCTTGAGCTTTGCCACAGCGCAGTCTTTCTAGTTCCAATTCACTTTCTGCTCGATGTCGACTTGCTAGTTCATTTAGGTGTTTAGCATGAGCTTGTTCCATCTCAACCAATTTGGACTACAATTTAAATAGAAGCGTTAAGAGCAATAGTAATAAATTAATGAAATATACTTTTTCTACCTGCTTTATAAATTATCTACAGATAAATACTATCTGTGTATAGTTGAAGTTAAATTCTGTTTTAGGATTAACTGAGTAGGTTAATTGTTTGATATAATTAACTTATTGGGTAGCACAGTTCAAGTTAAAGCTATTATGTTATAATCTATATATGAATCATTTCTTTAAAATGGCTAGTGGATTTTATTCCTTAATCTGATCTTTATCATATGTATTTGGTCATTTGATGAAGAGTTGAATTTAAATTGTTCTGTACCATAAATCTAAAAAACAGTATAACGATTCTTCAATAGAATAAATGAAATATGGCTAACACTGGGATCTAGGATGCATGTATGGCTAGCTGATGAATTGTAACAAGACTAAACCCGCATCGTGAATTGCCCTGATAGCCATATTTTATTTACCCTATGAAAACTTCCGACATAATGGCTACATATATTGAGGCAATCCACACATAGGACGCACATATGTCAACTAAGACAGATCGAAATTCGGTAAACTAACAGATCAAGTTATATCGATTTTTATCAGTGAGCGAAGAGACGATGAGGTTTGTCCCTTAATAAATTATTTGTATTTAATAATATTTCAAACAAAACTAAACCATAACCATTACTGTTGAATAATTAATAACGTGTTCAGAATGTAGAGAATCCAATCTAAGTAATGATGCAGTTATCGATTTTGTGAAATATATGAAATCAACCTGATTAAATTTTAACTACTTGTATAACAAGAAGGATATGACACTAAAAATGAAAATTATATTTGTAAAAACCTCAGCGATTCAACTTTCAGATTTCTACAAATATAATTTTCCTCTTTAAAGTCTTGCGTTAACTTGGCGCTTAATGTTAAACTATTTGTTCAAATTTAGATGTAAATTCTTATAAGAAAGGATTTTTAACTTTGCAATTACCGGTCTTTCATGAAGATCTTTCCATATTAGAATATTCTTGTTATTTGATATCAAGTAAGAAGAACTACCAAAAGATTAACGTAACTTCTGCATTTTAAGTTGATAAAAACCATGAAAAATGTGTACCATAGTATGTTTTTTGTGAACGCTTAACGCTACACATATAACAAATAAATTTTACAGATTCAATCAAAGGATTTGTAGTGGAATATCTTCGAAATAATTTTTAAGGACGACGGTGTATAAATTTCAGAAGACAATACGAAGCGTTGACTACAGTTTATTATTGTACAGCGCCGATCACAAAGCCAGAAGTACACAAAAAGAATACGAACAGAATGCGAATGTGAGCGAATTATTCGAATTTAAGAATGACATATATATAAGAAAGCGAATCAGTCACCATGTAATTTAAGCGACAAACATTTAAGCTAGTAAGAGGGATGTGTGTAGGGTATAACACGTAATTCAGCATACAGATCCTACAGATATGATAATATTTATAGATATAGGCAAATCGTTATTGTTTGAACGACACTGTCTGTTAAATAAGTCAATTTAATAACTTAATGAAACTAAACGAATAAAGACTCAAGTGTAGGTGAGGTGCTTTAGATTTACTAAGCGATGGCTAGATAAGCTCTTTAACGAATAATGCAGATGATGGTTTCGAAAATACCTTAAGTCTTTTCACGATTATACATAGGTTTTATTATCAAAAGGAATAAAAGTAAACGTTCATACACAGTAATCATACATGTACACAATTTCTAATCCCTTTTCCACCTAAAACCTGAGATTATTGCCATTGAAACAATACTACAGGACTGTGGAATCGGAAAATCGATCAGTACAGTCAGAGTATATCATTACTTACTTACTTGGGCCTGTTACCTCTTGTCGAGGAGTATAGGCCGTCCACCAGCACTCTCCATCCCTTCCTGTCCTTGGCAATCCTTTCCAGTTGCTATTCATCCTTTTCATATTTGCTTCCATTTCCCGACGTAGTGTGTTCTTCGGCCTTTCTCTTTTTCGTCTCCCTTCAGGATTCCAAGTGAGGGCATGCCTCGTGATGCAGTTTGGTGATTTCCACAATGTATGTCCCATCCACTTCCAATGTCTCTTCTTAATTTCCTCTTCATCTGGAAGTTGGTTTGACCTCTGTCAGAGTAGGTCATTGCTGATAGTATCCGGTCAGCGGACATTGAGTATCTTGTGTAGACAATTGTTTATAAATACTCATACAGTTTTGATGATGTTTGTAGTAGTTCTCGAAGTTTTAGCTCCATATAGTAGGACTGTGTTGACGTTGGCATTGAAGATTGTGACTTTGATGTTGGTTTGTAGACAGTTGTTTTGAGTTCCATATGTTCTTCAGTTGTAGGAATGCGGCCTTTGCTTTGCCAACCCTCACCTTTACGTCTGTATCAGATCCTCCTTGTTCATCAATGATGCTCCCCAGGTACGTGAAAGATTCCACATCGTCCAGAGTTTCTCGACCAAGTGTGATTGGGTTGGTGTTTTCCGTGTTGTATTTGATGATTTTGTTTGTTCCTTTGTGTATGTTGAGGCCTAATGATGCAGAGGCTGCTGCTACACTAGTTGTCTTCATCTACATTTGTTCATGTATATGGGGTAGGACGGCAAGGTCATCTGCGAAGCCCAAATTGTCTAGTTGCATCCAACCTGTCCATTTTATTCTGTGCTTTCCCTAAGATATCTAGGTCTTCATAATCCAGTCGGACACCAGAAGAAAAAGGGCGAGAGTAAGCAGCCTTGTCTGACTCCGGTCCTCACTTGAAATGCATCTTTCAGCTGTCCTCCATGCACGACTTTGTAGTGTAGTCCGTCATATGAATGCCGTACAGTGTTGGCGATTTTCCCGGCTACTCACACCATAGTGTCGAAGAAGTCCCCATAATGTTCTCCTATCCACACTGTCAAACGCCTTCTCATAGTCAATGAAGTTGATGTATAGTGACGAGTTACACTCGACTGATTGTTCAATAATGATCCGTAGCGTCGCGATTTCGTCTGTGCACGAACGATTCTTACGGAATCCGATCTGTTGATTTCGAAGTTGGACGTCTACTGAGCCGTTCATCCAGTTGATCAACACTCTGTTGATTAAATCATACTAAGTCTAATTTCCTGGTTCCTTTTATAAAATATCAACCATGATTTTTAGAGACTATATGATTGAAGCACGTCACATGCAAACATATAGTCTTCACATCGTTAGTTGCTGATTACAAATTGGGAATTTCAACTTAATTTACGCTAGAGTTGTGTTACATTTTCCCAAGTTTTCAAGCTGGGATACTATAAACTTATTTTAAAAGTTAACGTAGTTCAGTTAGTTTGTATAAGTAGCGGTATAAGGACATTGTAAATGCATTACTAGTTTAAAGTGTTGGTGAAAAATAATCTCTCATCTATGAACAATTGTTATCAGATTTATTAAGCAATGATTTCTAAAAACTCATATGAAGATTCATGAAAAATAAACCAATTTTTATAAAGATATACGGTAATCCTCTTTGCAAAACTAATAACTGCCTAACTAATTAACACGTTTAGTATTTGTGACCAAAAGCAGTACTAGTGTAGTGAACGAGAACACAGACGGGTACACCCAAATGCATTTTATTAACACAAAATTACAGAATCTCATGGTAAAATCTGTAAACCATACAATACTTCATCTGCGAAATGCTAACCAATTGTCTCAAATTTGATTGTTCTTTCGCTTCCACATCAATCATTGTCTGTTCTCATCCTCTTCTCTTTGATTTTAACCTTCTGCCGCCAGATATTTCACTTTCGATTGATGATACATACTACTTATATCTGTCGACATCAGTAACACACACCACACTAGCATTTCACTTCAATGTGATGAACTAGTTAAAATCATTATAATGTTAATTTTAAGAACGATTACCGTCATATTTGGTTATTGTGTAAAAGTAAAACGTACATTTCCTTATTTATATTTTATTTGTGTCTCAGGTCACTTCAGTGATGAAAAACAGACAAATTTCATTTCATTTGTAAGAATACTTACAATCGCTTCCATTTTTTTCACTGTTCTGCTTTATTCCGTGTAAATTTTGAGTGGAATTTTGTTAGTGTTGTTACTAGTTTGAGACAGTTCTTGACAAAACATTAATCTATCAATCATGCGGTAAAACGTCTACGGATAGTAATAGTCTTAACTTTTTTATTACATATGGCTGATGAAAAATATATTTGAAAAACCGAAATATTTTATCGCTCAACTGACTGATAAAGTGATTGTCATCAGGTAGAAACTCAGTATTTTCAATATAAATTTTTTACTGAGCTTTTGTTCTAGTTATGAATCGATTAATCATGTGAACTAGGTCTTAAAAATCATGCTCTGATTGTTTTATTACTTACACATATATACTGGAAGTCTATGTAGAGTACTTTGCTTATTCGCCTTGTATTATAATTACTACTGATGAGCAAAATCTTTAACATTATGTGCTATTATTGTTATCTCACGTTTATCTCTTTTTGCTCATATTGTGGCAATGTCTGTTAGTCTAATGAGCTCAAGATATTTATTAGTTAGGCACCGAATTAATCTCCCCTTATCAGTCACGTTTATTTTTATTTGTAACTGAGTTGTTGACTAAATATGTTTTTTTCGACAATACTAGTTCAGTTAAAATAACGGTATAATACAGATGTTTCCTAAAAAGTTAAGCATTTCTTATCCCGGTGTGAAGATTATAATATAATTGTTTAGATTACAGGTTTTTGAACTCGTAAAATGCAAAGTGAATATTTCGATTACTCATTTGAATGAAATCAAGAATAAGAATTAGAAATTGAAGATATTTTAACTATCTGATTAGATCATAGTAATTGCTTAAGCAATGAGAAAAACTGTAAGTTATTGCGTTTTACAGCAGATATATTTAGAGGAATAAATTTAATGATAAACTAAAGTGATAAAACCTACCTGTAAAAACTGAATCTGCTTTCTTCTATTTGAATTCTCTTCTTCCAGACGTCGCAATGTTATTTCTAACTCCGTACGATCAAGATTATTCTTATTCACAATTTCTTCGTTTTGTTGTTTTTCTCTTTCGGCTTTTTCTAAATGTCGTTTAAGATTATGCCTATCTTTTTCTAGATGGGTACTTGATCTCATTAAGTGATCACGCATATTTTCAACATCTGTTAAATTGCGCTGTAAACAGGACACCCTGTCGAATAGTTCTTGTCTTTCCTTTAAAAGCTATAAAAATAGTAAATGTTACAAAAATAAATCTAATTTTCTGAATTCAATGTTTATTATTATCAGAATATGATCTGTCCTGATGGTTCATTTTTAATGGTTCTACACTTTATCCTTCTACATGTTAAACTGCAAACTTTGGTTTGAGATAGGAAAAGCATCTAAATACTCTGTTTGAATCACACAAGGTTTGTACTGTTCGAGATTCTGTAATTAAAACTGTTAGATGCTGAATATTTTGGTGTTTTTTTTCTGACGTCTCTTGGTCTTCTTATAAGTTTATTAATATCGAAGAAGAGTTTAGGTGACGTATTACATAAAGAGGCTATATGTTTTTGGTATGACTCAGTATTTACTTTCACTATTTATGAATGTTTGTATAATACTTATTATCCTTTCTTGTTCTTAATTATTCCTTCATGAAATTTTGAGAACGATTTTACCGTGTTGCAGAGAGTGTTGAAGTCAATTAATAAGGTACGTAGTGGATCTTTTGATGTTATTATTAATGTGATTGCGGACAAACGTTTGAAATTTTGGGAACTGCTGGAACGCGTTACTTTATCAGATAATAAACATTCACTTCCTTCAGATCTTTATTCCTGTATAAACTCCAGTATGCAAGCAAAGTGAAAAACCTCTGCCATACCTTATCTATCACATCTATTATGCAACGAACAGTTTATAAAAGCCGATTTAATTAAAAACCTATATACTTGCACATATTGATAGTTCACAGTTTTATAGATATTTATTTTTTGTTTTTACAAATATTTCACTTAACACCATATTATTTTATTTACATATTTCACGTATATGTATATGTATATGTATATATACTTTTTGCGAACGACAAAAAGAGTAAAAAAAACTTGTTGAAATGTATACTGGGGGGAATTTCGTACTGTACTAAACATATAATACTCAATAAAGCCATTATTATTATTATTATTATTATTATTATTATTATTGTTATTATTATTATTATTATTATTATTATTATTATTATTATTATTATTATTATTATTATGTAATAAGAACGAAGACTGACCTAATTGTACTGTTCAGTGCTTTAGATTCTATTTATTTCCGATAACAAGAGCTATTTTATTTTCAGCATACTATCTTAATATCTTAAATCAACTTTACTCCTTTCAGTCGAAAGGGAACTTTATGTTTTTTGAACATAAGTAGTGTGTGATAGAAATATTATACAAAGCTGTTAGTCTCAAATAACATACATGGGTTAATCACAACTGATCATTAGTATCTTTATATTATCACTGATTTATCAATTTAAATAATAAGAAGTATAAGTCTAGGGAGCAAGTTATTGGTCAGTAATTAGATATTAATAAATAAGATTATGAAGGCTGCATTAGAAGTTGGTCTGGTAAGTGTTATTCTTAAAATAGTGATAATCACTGACTTATCTCATTCATTCAAAAGCTTTTCATATCTTTTATCTTCCTCACTGAATTTTCCATTACCTTTGTTGGTTATCTTTTACCAAATATTATTAAGCATATAAAAATAGACCCATGTATTATTTATGATAACAACTAATGATCGAATATAGCAATAAGAATAAGTTGATAAATGAATAAAGTCACAATAGGAAATGAGCTGAATTCTCACTCTTATAATGCAAAAATAGAAAAAACACCTTATGGAGCGTTACAAAGATCCGTTTACAAAAAAATCATATGGAACAGTCAACTGGCAGGGTTCTGCAGCTAAGTCCTCATCAGCAGATGAATGGATTTGATGATGTCTCTTGCCTCGCAAACTCGGAGAACTTGAATCGTTGGACTCATAAAAATATTTTTTCATTAAGATTTGTCGATATAAACATAAAGCCAAAACCTTCCAGAGAATCTGAAATCTTTATGCAACAGAATGTGTTCCATATTTGACGACATCTTCAAGGTGGTAATCGCAAACACCAAGAAAAGAACATTCTATTACTGGAACCCTGAGTATCATTTCTCCAGTAGTTCATTATTTACCAACAAATTAGCGAACAAACAATTGCATTTAACCTTATCAACCTGTATTTATCGCTTCTGCTCTAATAAAGTAAGACATAATGGTCTCTCGGTAAACATTTTGTTCAAGAAGGTCCAATAACATTATATTGGATGGTAAAATAAAGTTAAGGAGTGGTTGCATGAGCACGATTATAGATCATCCTGTGAATATTCGGAATTGCAACAAAAATAGACTGATAGTTTGAAGTCCTTTAGAAAGCAGATAGGAGTCTATCGAAATTAGCGTTTCCAGCTCTGTTTTCCTGAAGCCGTTGCTGAACACACGAAGTTGCTTAAACTGTGAATTTAAAAGGTGCTTGCTTAACCTCCTGGTATATATATATATATATATATATATATATATATATATATATATTGAACCAAATTCTCGTCTTCATAACTAAATGTATTTTCCATTTACTGTATATTATCTTTTTAAATAATCCCAAAGTAGTCAGTTTTTACATAATCACACAAAAAGCATGATAAATGATTGTGGGAATCATAACCTCAATAGTCAATTAATTCGTTGAAATAGTATCTCTCGATCAAATTTCGTCTTTAATATTTTAGTGGCAGCTACAAAATAACCTACATGCTGTGAATTTCGTACATCTTGTTTCAAATAAACTCGCCCATTTGAGAGATGATAACTGAAGTATTGGGATAAATATTAAGCTTTTTCGATTTTACTACATAAACTATGATAATAAAGTAAGGATTACCATCCAGGTTGTATACGTTATCTAACAATGGCCTTAAGTTTTCATTATTATTCAAGGGATTTGTAGTTATTACTTATCGGCTTAATAAAAAAATATTTTACATTATGTAAACCGTTCGAAATATAGACATAACATGTACGGTTTTTTCGGTCAAATAGTATTAAACATACTCTATTAGCATTGTGACTGTTGAAGGTAATGGAATGGTACGAGGGCGATGCATATTTATCTCATTGTGAATAATATTTTCTCCTTTATTATTATTAATGTATACTTCTGAGATGTGTACACCTTTGTCACATTTCGTTTAAACCTACCGTTTGAAGTTGTTTATTGAGTTCTTGTTCATTTTCTTGACGTTTATCCAAAGTATTATTTGTTTGACGAACTTGATTTTCAAGCTCTCCTCGACGCAATTCAGCATCAGCCAACTCACTTTGTAATGATTGTATTCTTTCACATGACTGTTGGTTTTGATGTTTTTGTTCATGCAACACACTACGTGTATTATCTAATCGCTCCTAAATTTGAATAAATAAAAATTAAAATATGATTACTATGTAGGCTGAGTTTACATCATCCTAGGACTTTTAGATCATGCCAATTATTGTCCTCCAAATCTTTTTAGAAAGCCAAAAGTGTTCGAAACGATTTCTAGTCAACTGAGAAATCGTGAAAAATCCCTCAAGTTTGCTTTTTTTTAACATTACTCGACGAAAGAATGGTGTGTTAACGTTATCATTTATTCCAAAATCTATTAAACCTCCAGAGTTCTCCGTAATATTGAAGTATCCCACTGTTTAATTTTATAAACTAGTCTTCAAGTAAAACTTTTGATTGCATTATGACCTATTTACCTGTTCCGGTTTCAATAACTGAGTTCTGAACTTTCAATTTTTTATCACTAAAATATTATTGGTGTTTCTTACTCAACGCATGGCATGGACTTTTTCAAAGCCATCTATATTATGATGCTAACAAACGGTTATTCTTTCGGCATATAATTTAGTTTTTAAACTACATGTTACTGATTGTTTTGAACAAACGTCACGAAAATATGATAGAAAAAGGGAATTACACTGAAGTTTACTAAAAATAAGTTATATTACATTATACTCATTATTTTTTGTGAACATATAGTTGGTCGTTACATTGTTTTATTTCGAATTATTGTTTCTGTACGTTTCGAGTTGTATAATCTCAAAGATGGTGCCACTGTAATCAAATTTCATTGTGGCAAATTTTTACTATAAATCTTAAATTGCACTTTTCTTCAATAGTGTTGGAGAAATCCAGAGTATCCCTCGAAATAAAGGTCAGAGCGGCCTTGAAAACTCTGGAAAACACTTTATCCAATCCACATTGAATGGAAGTGTCTCAAATATATAAAGAAAGCGAAGACTTACGTGTCGCATTTCTGACTGGATGATTACCTATCCTGCTACTATGTTTAGCAGGGTTCCAGAATTTTCCATTTGAGATGCCATAAATACCCTCAATTTTCTGTACATAAATCAACTATGGAGAAAAGCGTCTTTTCTATCGTGTTCAAGTTGTCGTATTGATTTTAGCCTGGGTTATTAGAAGAGTGTAATGTGTCTAGTCCTATGTCAAGCCCATATAGCTTATTCTAGCTTCTGGACAAATCGATTTATCCATCCCTCTTGAATCACATTTTCACCTTGTTAATTATTCGTTTATCAACCCTAACTGATTTTATATGAACGTATATGTGTGTACATCTTATCCTACTCATCACGTGTCTGTAGCTTATTTTTGTGTGACTATAATTATTGATTAACGCTTGATTAAATGGACTTGGCTCACATGCCTTCTCCACCGCGCATTATTTCTTTTCGCTTCGTTCCTTTGATCGTCTGCTTGAATCAATGATTGTACAAAATATACGTATTCGAAATCGTTTCTCATATTTGACTTATTTTGATTCCGTTATTCACTAACGCGAGTTAAGTCGATAATTAAATACGACGATAGCCAGGATGTATATTTTGACAACAGTCATTTATAAGATCTAATTGAAATCAAATATCCGGGCCACTAAAGAGCTTAGAAAAGTGATCTAAGTGTTCAGTCAAAAGATTTATCAAATACGAAAAACAAACTAACTTTATGTAAATAGAAATTATGAATAGTTTAACTAATAATTTTAAAAAACAAACTTGTATTATTCGTCTATCATGTTCTGAATTCGTTAGAGCTTTTTGTAAATGCGCTAGACGTTCTTGTAATTCTAATATGGTTTGATTATGATCTGAAAGACTTGAATTAAGTTGTTGGATTTTATCTTTGCTTGCACTTTCTAACTCTTCTGTTTTAGCTAACGCTGTACTTAAACGATCAACTGTCAGTTGTAATGACTGTGATTTCGATTCTAAATCCTGTGAAAAAAGTATCCATAAGAATATTTCAATAAAATCAGTGCTAGAGAAATAGCTGATAGTTAAAAGAATTCAGAAATTATGGCAGAATAATTTGCGAAAGCAGACCAAATTCTACAAGTCAGGTAAGAAATAATATTTAAAATTATGATTATCATTATAAATAAAAGTAGTATATTTGTAATAACACAATGAGTAGAAAAATTATGTCTGACGCTAAAATATTATGTGCGATCAATCAAAACAAGTCTGGGCAAGTCAGCGCTTTGTTCCTTTGAACTATTTAAACTTAGGTTGATTATAATTTGGTTACGTATTCTCTGAAGAAGTGGCTTACACGGAGTCATGAAACGTCGAAAAATCTAATTTTTTTACTAATTGGGATATTACAAATATATATTATTTTCATTTATAACGATCTACCCAATGCTAAGTTATTTGAAATTATCAAGTCTAACCTTGGTAATGATACCTATGTCTATCATTATTAATGATATAGACTCCATGAAAATTCTTGAGAATAATTAGTGCCAATGAGTGTAAAATAAGCATGAGTATGCGCTTTCGACTGCTTCCAGGTAACATCACGAAACGTTTTTATATTTCAACGAAATTATACAGCTTCAGAACGGTAAATCAAAAGTCATTGATCGAGTTTTCAAAATTACTAAATTTACAGTAAATTATAACGTCACTTCAATGTTCATTAAGAATATCTGTTTGCTTGAGTAGTTTGTGAAGATTCGTTACGTTTGACGATGGTCATTAATATGGATTGATATTAATTGAAAAAATGTTTGAAGATCATAGGCTACAGTATAATTGATTTGCCTTAATTTATCGGTACTAAAAAAATATGCACTAGTGACTTCATACGTAATCAAATACAAGACTGATAAATCTAGATTTGAGTAGGATTTCATATATGTACCATGTTAGAAATTGGCAAAAATCTGATAATGTGGACTGTTGAATTCTAATTCACCAAGTGTACGACTTCCAAAATGTTTCGTGTAGTCATTTAACTCGTGAGTATAATTATTTTTCTCGTCCAAAGACCTAGACAAGTTTTAAAGATATCGATAGCCATATTTCAAACTGGAAGCTCAGAACTGTGTCTATATAAATAATGCAATATTTTGAGTTTAATACTGAAACAAAATTCTGTAAGAGCACTGTAAATTAAAAAAAACAACACCAGTAATCGCTTTCAATGAATACTCAAATAATGTTTGTTTGGATGAAACCTCAAACATTTTCAATATATTTTATGATAAGTAATATAATTGGTATAGCTTCACAGTTTTCAACAGGTAATAAAGATAAGTTTTAAATCAAAAATAAATTTTCACAAAATGTGTTTGTATCTATTGTTTATGGACTAACTTTATACTTGCCAAATGAAAAGTGAGTCATTCTCTGTTTCATTTTTAGGTTAATTTAACCCATTCTGTGTTGGTTGATTATTAGTCGTATGTAAAGGATATTTTAAAAGCGAATAACTAATGAATAGTTAGTTTTGTAAATAACCAATGATGACAGGTATTAAAAATCCACTTTTTACTAGTATTCTGAACAACTTGAGTCTTATAAGCAAAGACGGATAGTAACTAGCAGTGGGATCCAGGACGCACGTTTCGTCCTATTTGGGACTCGTCAGCTGGATGTACTTGTCCCAGAGTGAACATCAACTCTGATATGCAAGTGCATCCAGCTAACGAGTCCCAAATAGGACGAAACGCGCGTCCTGGATTCCGCTGCTAGTCACTATCCGTCTTTGCTTATAATGCTTGTAAGATTAATGCAATATCGAGGCAATACGCACAGTACGCACATATGCCAATAAGAGACTGATCAGTTGCAGCCCTAAACATCAATGGGAAGATTCGAGTAAAACAATACCAAGTGAATTTAACTTGATTCTTAGCATTGGACGGAAATAAAATTTTTATCTGTGTAAAAATACTAGAAAAATACTTCGACAATGTAGAGATAAATAAGTATGAAAATAAAGGGCAGTATTTAAAGAATCTTTTCATAAATATCATCATTAAATGAAATCATTTGTAGAGTACTACGTACTCAAATAACGTATTGTACATTTTGTAATCATCAAGAGATAGGTATTGAGGATAAGGTATTTTCAAATGTCTACATTGTTTTCAATATCATCGAACAGATAAATGAAATGATCGCTCTTTTAGAGTGTATTCTAATGTTAAGAGAAAGCAACCAAGGTGGGGTGTCAGATGTTTATATTGTATAGGGGGTTATTATGATCATCTAACCTGTATTTGTTTGCAAAGGTTTTGACATCTGTCCTCAAGCATTTGATTCTCAGCTTCCTTATCACTGATGCACATCTTGAGTCGTTGCAATTCACCTTCTAATGATCGTCTAGTTACTTCAAGTTGTGTGATGTGATTTTCAGCATCATCCAAAGCTCTTCGACTGAGACGTCGCTCCTCTTCAAAGCGTGCTCCAGTTTGACGTAAATGCATTATTTTTTCCTTAAGTTACAAACGTTTACATAAATGTAATTTAATACTAGAAGTTAAAAGTTATATGTTTTTAATATTTTCTGATGTCTATAATGAAGCAACACTTCAAAGTAATTAGTTTAAGTAAAATAAGCATGTTCTGAGATATTGGTGAATTTGTCAATGATTTGTTGATAGTTTGTTTTAATATGTACAATCTTAAAGTTTCACTTGACTTTCTTCAGAAATCATTACATACGTGTATTAATACTGTCGTTTTCGACTTGAATTATTTACGTACATAAGTGTTTCTACTACATTCTAATTGTTGCATTAAATTTTCAGTGAATAATATAAACTTTATTTTTTTAATATTTTTAATTGCTCATAGTGAAATAAAATCTTGTCTTGTGTAATTGAAATCCTACAAAAGTCAATCATTTAGGTCTGTGAGAGCAATTCTGTTGTTTTGTGATAATTTGTTTTGGTTGGCATTTTTGAAAGTAAAACTACCTATATAATAATGACCTTAGACGATTTTTGTTAGTTTTTAAAATCATTAGACTGTTTGGCTGAAACGATGATATGGTTTAAGCTTCTGTGTACCGTTTTCTTTCTATCTACTTTTGCTAAACTTCAGGAGAGATAAACTGATCTTAAAACGAGGGTAGCGTGGTTTGAATGAGTTGCTGCTGAGAATACGGCTAATGATTTTAGTGATTTACAACTCAAAATTTTCTGTTAGAAAACTTTTTGAATTTGCAAATCATTCTTATCTTCAAGCCACGTCAAATAATATTAGTACGCTGATTAGCATTTGATAGAACTCTTAACCAATATATTTCATACCTGATCCTCATGTCTCTCATTTTCTATGGCAGATATCTGTCTTTCTAGTTGACTTATTTTATCTGCCATTATTTTTCTGTCACGTTCATTTTGTCGTAAGGTTTCTTCTTGAAGCATAAGAGCAGTTTGAGTAGTAGATAATCTTCCGTCTACTCCTTTCTTATCTATTTAATATTTTACAACATATGTAAGAAAGTAAAAATATCAATAAATTAAAATTATAAATTAAAATTGACAAGCTCATTATAAACCTGTGGTAAATTATTTCGTGTTCTTTATTTTTTCAAATGCACTGTACATCTTCGTGTTTTATTTACTCAACATCAATTAACGTTTACTGGAACCGAGATTATTCATCAAAAATCGGTGCTTGACTTCGTTTTGTGTTTTTGTGAGCAGTCATAACTGCGTGGTAAAAAATATCTTTTTACGGATAACAAACTATTTCTCATTAACTTTAGCGATAATAAAAATTATTCAATCTAACTTTGTCAATAACAATCCCACATTTTTTACAATTGCACATTTTTATATCACTTTTTGGAACTGCCGAGGCATATATGACGATGTCCATATAAGATTTAATTCTACTTTATTCTTTAAAACTGGTACGATATTTCAGTAAAGCAACTACTTTGATCCGACCGACTTGAAGTATTGGCTTTGGTGACCTAAATTGCTGCTACAATGGGTTTGTATGACCTAATTACGAATTCATTTGCTGTTGTAAGTAGCTATATGCAAAACTGTATATTTGTATAGTGAGTTTATAAAGAGATTATAGATAAATAATTCAAGAATTTAGTTGAAACTATTTAAAGTATAGCATTATTTTCATGTAGTTTATTGCATTTGATAATTTTTATTATTATTATGGTGTATGCTACTGGTGTTGACAGATATATGAAGTATGTATGTGAAATGTCTGGCGGAAGAGGATTAAGATCAAAGAGAAGAGGATGAGAACAGACAATGATTGGTGTGGAAGCGAAGGAACAATAAAATTTGAGACAATTGGTTAGTATTTTGCAGATGAAGTATTGTATGGTTTTCAGATTTTACTATGAGATTCTGTAATTTTGTGTTAATAAGATACATTCGGTTGTACGCATCTGTGTTTTGTCGTTCACTACAATACTAGCAAAATCATTGAACAACATGGATTACGTAGAACTTGATGTAAGCTTAATTAGTTTGCCAAACAAAAGTACAAAAATTTTGGAAAGAGAGGGATGTTGGCTAGCAATGGAATCCGGGATACATGTTTTGTTCCACTTAGGACTCGTCAGTTGGATGTACGTGGATCCCACAGTCGGTGTTCATCCCGGAGCTCTGTCCACTTCAAACGTCACCCCGTTGTCCACTTAACCACTGAGTTCAAATAGCCAATGGCTTAAGCAATGGGACGAAGGTTAATTTATATATTAGTTGTTTGAATCTTAACATTGATAGTTTTGAGTGCGATCGATCTGTCTCTTATTGGCATGTGTGCATCCCGTGCACATCGTCTCGATATTGCCACTAAATCACTTGGATTCGAAGCACAGATAGATGATGTGATGGTGTGTGAAGAGAAAGATTCTGGGTTAGAGTCCCAGAGTGAACATCAGCTCTGGATTCCAGGTAGATTCAACTGACGAGCTCCAAATAGAGCGAAACATGTATCGTGAACTCCACTGTTGGCCACTATCCATCTCGGTTCATAAAGGTGATGGCTTAAGGCAATATCGAACCAATCCTCACAGGATGCACGTATGTCAATAAGAATCTGATCAATTGCAGTCCTTAATTGTCAATGGTAAGAGTCAAGCAGTCAATGTATATATGAATTAAAAATGCAAACTCTCAAATGAAAACTACTATCTACAGATAAAAATTAAACAAAAAATTTAATATTCACGAAACAAATGCAGATCTATAAGTGGCGAGTTATGTGATGATTGATTGATGCTTTATAATTTTTACATAATTTTACAACTCTGAAGAATAAATGTTGTAATATTTTTTATTATTTTAATTCTGTAAGCGATATACCATAAACATCTTTTCGATTTGCATTATCTTGTGAAAACTATGAGACTTTTATTCATCTTCATAACATGAGATATGTCTAAGGACAGTAGGCGTAACGTTTATATAAGCTTTAATTTCAGTACTACTTAGTTGGTTTATTCAGTATTTGAGTGGTAGACCGACAGAAAAAGCCTTATTTTGTCAAGTCATTGAATAAAAGTATGTTTATTGGAGGTCAAATTCATTGACATTGATATTTTATGACTACATTTTATGGATGGTCTACTGATCTGTAGTTCTTCGAAAATTCGGAATAATTCCCATAAATTATCTCGTAATTTAACTGAAGGCAATTTAAAAAACCAGTTGTGTGATGACCAAGCAATTCGAAAGAATTTATTAGTTTTTATAATTACTTATATCTAGTATTCTGTTGCAAAAAAGAGTGCAAAGAGTACATAACAAAATTGGTAATTATCGCTAGAAAATTTATTAAGCTCTTAATTACCTGCTTCAGCTTCACACAAAGCCTGCTGAAGTTGGTGAAGTCTTCGAGCCCACTGTTCAGTCTGTTCAGCTTGTTCGTTTAATCGAGAATGAAGAGATGTGATTTGTGCTTGTGCATCTTCATAATCTCGTTTTACTGAGGAATATTTCTGTACAAAGTCGCGTAAAGCCAAACGAACTGCTTCAGGATCTAGGTCAGATGCATTGAACGATCCATCACTAGGATATACTCTTGATACGTTAGACAATTTAGAATCACTAACACCATCTAAAATAGGAATTATAAGTACAAATATAGGAAGGCCAAATAATATTTACCAACTTCCACAATTTATTTTAAATAAAAACAGAGTTTTGCCTCAAAATTGAATTCAATTAACTAATGTTCTCGATCAGAATGCTCATGATATTTTCCTAATATAAATGAAGAATAAACTGAAGAAAATTCAATTTATGCTCCTTCAAAAAAGCATATTTAAAGGTTACCAAAGTATTTCTATGAACTTTATCAAAGAAAACTTATTGCTGCGCGATTTAAATAAGACGTTGAATTTAGTCCTCATTAAATCGACCCAACATAAGATAAAATAACCACACATTAATATTTGTTAACGTCGGCTGAACTTCGTGAGTAACGTCACCAACAAATATTTTGTAACGAGATAAGACCATATAGTGTCTAACTTAGTCATCTCTCTTGGACGCAGTATTGATATAGTCGAACTAATTGATCGGAAAAATATTCTAACTGAAGAGCTTTTACTGAGGACATATGTATTATTTACTAACTAGCATTAAAAGTAGCTAAATGCTTTGGTATATTAAGTCGACTTGCGCCAATCAGACCAGAAATGTTATGTCTATATATGTTTATATGGGAAGATCATTCATAATCTATTCAGCATATAATTCTTTATCAGTAATAAGTGTTTAACTCCTCTTAAATTTTTATTTAAACACAGTAAGCAACTTGACAGCTGTTTAAATAAACTACGAAGATGCTTTCGAGATTCCGCAGTAGCGTAATCCAGGACGTGACGTCTATCCTACTTCGGATTTAGTGGGTTATACATATAACGAAAGAGCCCAATTTTGTCATTGAAGAGGAGTGAAGGTTATGCATTAGCTAATGTTGATAATATTGATGCATCCGTTCAAGATCTCTATATCCTAACAGAGATTAAGTGATTCTTTCCTAAATGTTAACAGCGAAAAATAACCATAAATTAATAATAAATTAAAATATTTCAGTCCGTATTATCAATTTAATATCTGTAGAGTAGGGAAATTTTATAAAGGTGTTCAAATAGTTATGAAAAATGATACTTTAAAAGATATATCCTTACCTTTTACAGGGGAGTTATCACGACTATTTATTGGACTTGTTCCTGTTTTTAGTTTACGAACAGGTGAAACGGAAGTTGAATCTCTGACTCTTGATGGAGTTTTCGATCGATGGCGACACTGATTATAGCCAATAAGTCTACGAAGTGAACTATGTATACATGCCAGCTTATATGCAAAATCTCTTCGTATCGATTCACTTTTTGCCAACTGAGCCTCCAAAGTACTCACGCGACCCTCAGCTCCACTTAAAGCCAATCTTACTTCAGCCAAGTCATTACTCAGAGCCTCAGCGGTCGTTTCTAATTGATTTCTTGTGTCCGTTAGACGACGATATTCGCAGTTTGCATGATCTACTGCTTGTTTGTATTCTCGTTCTCTACTAGATAATAGCTCTTGCAGATCACATATTTTTCTTTCACTAGTGGATAACTCTTTCCGTAGTTTAGAACTATATTGAACAAATAATCATCATTTTTACCACTTAAGAACTAAAACATCATAAAGTATTATAGAATTATGGAGTCTTTCTTTCAAATGAATAACTTTAAGTTCGTTCATAATAAGAAAGATTTATAGAAACGACTTTCCACTAGAATGATGCTGAAAGAGACTAAAGCTTTAAAAAATCATGACGGAATAATTTTATACCATTTCGGACTTAGGAAAACAAGGATTCTATTAAAATATATATAGCTGTAGCAATTTATTTTACTGCATTGAATAATAGCTAGGTGTGAAGTTAAGGCTAGGCATTTCGTTCGTTTTGGGACTCTTCACCCGGATTTATTTGCATGCCTATGTGTGAATGTTACTATTAGGACTAAACCCTGATTCAAACACTAGTGTTATTACTGAACTGAAACATTTTACTGCTCGTCGCTTGTTTAGTTCCCATTATAGATTTGATTGTGACCGGTGAACTTTATTAAACAATTAAATAATCATGATTCCTTTATTTGATCATTTAAAATAGAATGTATTCACTTCTAGGCAGTGATCAAATAATCTTTTGCCACTGTTTTCACTGTTCTATGAATGGTAAACAGATTCTCAGGAAAAATCTCATTTTTCATTAAAAAAATATGATGATTATATAGTTTTAAATTTTGTTATTCTTGAGTGGTTTTGGTATCGCTTGAAAAGCCTGATATGATAAACAAAATATCTTGTACAAGTAGGAGCATACTCGACTTATCTGAACGGGAAAATGACTGATACATTTATACTGCTTCATTTTTTATAAACGTCAAAAATGAATGCTATAATAGGATTACTCATTAAGTTTAGGAGAATGTTGGTTTATTTCATAAGGTTGTAAACTAAATTTAGTGACGCCATTGGAAAGCGCTTTCTCAAAATGTGATTTGGTTTAATAAACATAGTTGAACTCACGTGCTTACTGTGGGGGTCAACTATTTCAGAAGTGAATTAATTTTCTTTATTGTTTATCGTGCAAATTATTAAAATCCCTGAACCTCTACATTACTGTTCTTCATTACATGTTAAATAGGTTATTGGATCAATGAGATTTATATGATCATTTAAAGTCACTTAACGATAAATTTCTTGTGATTTCGTATCATGTTCCAGTTTTCGACAACAAACGAATCAATTAAGTCATTTAAAAAGACCAAATTATTTTGAATTAGTTCGAAATGTCGATGATTTTGTCATGCTACTCAGTAGATTTTAGTAGTTAGTTCTTACCGAGAAGCGTCTATTTCACCATTACGTTGTTTCAAGACGGTATTTTCTTGACGTAATTCTTCATTTTTTTCTTCCTCCCGTGTTATTCTAGACTGCATTTCCATTAAATCCTTAGTCTGCCTTTCATGATCTGATTGCATATCTTTAAGTTGACGTCTAACTTCTTGCAGATCACGACGGACATCAAGACGTCCTTTCTCACTTTCGCGAACACTTGAGCGCAACTCACCAATCTCCTTGCTATCAGCACATTTTTGTTCTTCAAAAGCTGCGACAGAAATATAATGCATAAATTTTTTCGTTACGTGAAATATCAATCTGAAAAATAATACTTTCTCTTCTTCCTTATACAAACGTTTGTGGGTTAGTTTGCATTTTAGTGGAAACTATGTTTATGGAAAAGTACTTCCGTCCGATATTCAGGTGCCATAGAGTGCTTTGGTTTGGGATCACTTGGATCTTTTTGGATCAATGGTATTAGAGACTGACGGCCCATAAAATAGTTTAAGTACTAGCCTATATCAGTACCAGTGACATTGAAGTAGCGGATTTAATTGGAATAAAAGGGTCATCGTTGGTATAACATGTTTAATAGTTAGGCAAAACTGTTTCCAAACAATCACGATCTTTCCAACGCACAATAATAAAAAGTGGACACGATAAACCTACACCATAACGTCTAGTGCTAGATTGTCAGCTCATGCTCAGAAAAACGTGATAATTTCTAGACTGTTTATCTTCCCTTCGTCACACAATCTACTTTCCTCATTCTGTTCTGGGTTGGGTTGCTAATTATAAGCACCAATCCATTATACTCACTAATACGTCAGATGTTCTCAATTTTAGTTTTGAAGCTATCATATTTGAATATAATAGTTGTCTTGAACTCCTATTCATATCTTTAAATAAAAGACTTTTAAGTAGATTTAATGTTGTAAATAAACAAAGTCATTACATTGCTGTTCTTTCCTAAATTAAACTTTGAAGTTTAATACACCCTGTCATTAGTAACTGAAACAAATCGATTGATTCAATTGGTTTCCTAAAATTTGCCTTCGTATATCAAAGAGAAGTAACTGAGACTTAGTAGGCTGTTGTCTCACCACTATATAGGTGACGTTAACTTATCGGTTGCTTATTGTTTGAAGAAATTCAATTGATTGATTATGTCTACATTATATGATAACTATAGTTTACTTTTTGATATAATATACTTCTTGTATTCCATTTGTCAATCCTTACCAACAGTGTTATGATAAATTTATTAACAAATAAAATACTGAAATCACAAACACAAAGGGGTTACTTGATGGATAAAGTTGAACCAAATTTATTTCTGTGAAAACACAAAAGCAACCTAAATGTTTGAACGTATTCTAGAGTGAAAAGATTTCTGCTTGTATACGAAGTATACATCCGAACTATCATAAAAAGGTTAACTGTCAAATGACTAATTGAAAACGAAATTGAGGTAGTTTTTAACATCGATTTTACATTTGTATTGCCAGATAAGTCACTATCCATTTTAATGAACTTGAGTTAAAATTTAGACAAGAAATTTACTTTACATAACAGAGGATTAAACCAAAAGCTTTTGAACAGAAAGTTTATTTCATCTCCACTGTCTAGTTGTTACCCAAGTGGTAAAACTTCGTAAAAACTACTTTGAATAGCATTTTTGAAATGAAAGGGTTCTTTTACTATTTCCGTAATGGAGACTCGATAGTTGACCAGTTTAATCTGATCTTCGTCAATTTATAATTTTTAGGCTTGTCATGACTTATAGGCGTAAATCAGAAAGCACATTTATTCAAACGGTTGTCACTAAGCTAAGTTATTTCAGTATATATATTTCAAATTGTAGACTTGATTCAAGTATTAGGAAATACGTCATGATTTCGGATTATAACAATACTAAGATAGATCAGTGGAAAATCTGGGATACGGAAAATGATTTAGGTTCGCTACTTTACTACTTCAGACGAATTTGAATTATCGTTGCTAGGGTTAGGATTTTGAATAAACAGAACTCAGATTGCTTTGGGATCCGAGCTCGTGACATTCAAAAATTACACAAAGCATGCATTACGTGAGATGTAAAACTCGTGGGTTTGAGATTTCGGACTTCATCGATAATGTCGTATTGTCAGTTGAGTTTGTAATAGCTACTAGCACTATGGTTTAACACTACATTTGTATTCTGTATATCTTTCAATTACTGCATAAACTTTTTTATCTATAATGTTGTGACTTTCATACCGAAAACGTTAGGAGAACCTTCTACTTGAAAATATGTCTTGTTTGCCACGTACTTTTAAGTTCCCATTTCTATTTTCACTAATTGTCAGATGCCAATTATTCTTTAAGACTTTTGCTAAAATGTTTATCTTCTTCAATTCGCCCATCAACTAACAGTATTCGGTCACACAGCACTAGGATTTCTGGCCAGGCCCATTGTGAAAAATACTCAGTTTAGATACTATAGACTTTACATGTTCAAGTAACAAAACTTTTTATATAAACTAATATTTATTTTGTAGTGTTTATTTCATTAAACGTGTGTATAGTTTGTAATTTCATATTTTCTTACATTAATTTCCAAATTTATTTTTTCAATGCTCTACAAGCTTTTTATTATAGCTTTTACGGATTAATCAGTTAAAAACTGGTTCGTTGTTCATTTTACTTTACTCAACGCGATTTGAATTAAGACAGAAAACTTGGTGACTGAGATAAAACTAACTCCTGATAATCAATCAAGCCGTGTTGATCAATTAATAGAGCCCCAAGAATGCAACCCAGGCACAAATAGTATGCTTCCAAGTGGGACTCAACTTTTGCGTTCATCAACGATCGTCAACAAAATCAATAAAAATCGTAAGCTGGATCACCCTGACTCGGATGTTTTGAAAAAATAGTCATAAACAAAAATAAACCACAACTTGTTGTTAGATTAAGATTAATTACCAGAGATTTGTTGTTGTTGGTCAGTTAGTACTCTATTTTGTTCAACACGCTCAGTTTCTAGAGACTGAACTCGTTTCACGAGATTCTCTTTGGCTTCTTCCTGATTGTCGCGGTCACGCTGCGTTTCAGCTAGAGTTCTACGTAAGTCAATAATTTCTTTACGTAGTGTTTCTCGAGCTTCATCTGTTTCTTTTAAACGACGAGATATTTCTGAGATGTTTTTTTGTAATCCATCTCGAACTTCTTCAATTAAATTTATTTGCATTTTTAATTCGTTCACTTCATTTCTTGCTAGATCTCTTTCAGTGGCTAGCTGAGCAGATTTTGCTTGAGCGCTCTTCATTGCCTGTTCATGTAATGCACTATAAAATGATGATAATATTTTAGATAAATTTGTTTAATAGAAGTGAATAACAATCTTATGCAGAATAGATAATAACCAACACTAAACATATATTATCTCAAGCTTTTATAACATTCTGCTCCGTGACGACTGTTAAAATCGTAAAAAGTTGTTAAAACGTAAGAGACAAATATTTTAACTACTACTCAAGAAACCTTAAGACGTACTTATTTAGCATATGATGTAATATCTTATAGTTGGCTTAATCTAATTTCATATTTGCTATTAGCCACAACTGTAACAAAAAATCATAATATTCAGTATTTATTAAAGTCTGTTATATTCTCGAATATAAATCCTAGTTTAAAGGTTATGATGGTGAAAATGACTCTAGTAATCCCAAAAATGTAATCCATGACAAGTGTATAAATAAACTGCGTACATATCTGTGAGTTTAGTGGTGTTTACCACCAATGTAAGTAACAATAAAGATAAATGAAACATTTAACTAATTTTGTAATTACTAGCTTAAATTCTGAAAAACTAAATTTATGAAATTGTTTCAACTATCGATTGTATTATTCCGAAGACAATTTAAAATTCAACAAACTCAGAAAATCGGACAACTTAATTGTAAATTCTACCACTTGATTATTCCATGTAAATAAGCTGAATTTTGTTATATTTCTAAAACAAGTGGAATCTGAACAACATATTTAATTACCATGTCTCTTCATAGTGTTGACGGAATTCTTTCAGTTCCCGTGTCAAATCGGCTTTGGCCATATCATCACGTTCATGACGAGCTGAAGCTTCACGTTTAATTCTATCTATTTCTGATTCTAATCCTTTAATTTGTTGTAATGAATGATTTAATCGTTCATTTAAGTTAACTCGTTCTTGTTCATTGAACGACAATAAATTTTGTTTCTCTGCTTCATATGCCAAAGTTATTTCATCTTTTTCCCTTTGAAGTTTCATGAGCTGTAATTATGTATATATTTAGGAAAAATATGTTTATTTTGTGAAAAATTTTAATCGTTTGCAAAAATAATTTTTTTATGAATACATTCAATAACTGTAAATTAATGAATGAAAGTTAAAATATATTTTACATTTTTATAGGAATAAAAAACATTTCAAGTCGTTAAACGATCTTGATAATATTCACTTGATAACTTTGTAATGAGGATTGTTCAGAATACTGATATATCTTAAGATACACTGTTTGATCGTTGAATAAGAAGTAATGTCATATTTGTCTGACCCTTGATTTTAATTGAATTCCATCGATCAAGGCACAATGTGATTACTAACTTAAGGAAATTGCGTGCTCTATTCTTTGGTTTTAAATATTGGAAGTAGTTAGCAGGTTGACTCTCACCAATAAGACCTAGTTGAAATCTTGATGGTGCTTACGCTCTTTAAGGGTTAAAAATCTCATCAGTCAAATTTACAATCTGATAGACAAATCAAATCATTTTGCAGTATAAAAAGACTTAAGATTTTGTTCTGACAATCAACCACTATTGTCGATAATAAAGAATAGGAGAGAACCAACTTATTAAATAAAATCTGTAATTTTACCATCACGAAAATAGAAATTTAAGACCTAATTTTTTGATAGACAATAAGGGCCTTTTAAAAAATATCATTTTGAAAGTAGACTACCAGCTTTTCATTTAATGAAATATAGGATTTTCGCAGATTTCAGACTGCCATATACCAATAACCAAGAGTGGAAATATCAGAGTATTTCAGTTCATTGAAATGTGGAGCTTACTTCATACCAGTAAAATAATAAGTTAAAATCATTTGCGAATCATTGATATATTGATTCAAGAACAGGTTAGTCTTTAGTCAGGATTATACGAAAAAACTTAAGCAAAGACAAACGCAACATTACAAAAACTATAAGACATATAAACAATAAAGTTTCAAGGTTTTGACAATAACCTATTTAGCTGAGTGGTTTGAAGAAGTTTATATAATACAAATAATGCAATAGTACAAATAAATTTAACCTGATTCACTCGCTAATTTATCTACCAAAACATTATTATCTAGTCAGCCTTAAACTGGTTTACTTCATTGGTCATGGTTACTTACTAGAACTTCGGGAATTACATTTCAAAGCCAATACACAGAATACACAAATATTTCGGTTGAATCAATTAGCATTACAGTTAGACAAATTTGAATAGACAAGGAATCTGAACAGTGAAACAATGGTTGATTTCGTGCTAACCTTTAAAAGAGGTCTTCAAGATGGAAGTTGCTTATTTTTATGGTTTTATAATCAGTATTTACTTTAGCAATCACATTGTAGATTGCCTTTGTAAACGATATCTTTGGTGTCTAGACTAGTCCTGACCTAAACCTCAATTTTGGCACTCTAAAAATTAGTTAGTGAACAGACCCCATATACTTGATGTTTCTTAAGTCAACAATAGTCTGGTATTATTTTTAGTTTTTTTGTTTTGCATAATCCAAATAGAGTTCTCAAAAATACAAGTATTGACGAAAATTAGTAAATTGTATAGCATTAAATGCTTTTTACATGTAAAATACTATTAAACTATGAGACCAAATAGACTGTTTGATCTATATTTTTCTCGAAAATTGTTTTTTTTTCCCTCATTATATTGCAAACAATAATTCAAACAGACAGAGTCATTTAATTTTCAAAAAAAATTTACTAACAGATCATTGGTTCATAAAATAAAACTAACCAAAATTTCAATACTTATTATGTGAAAATAACTATCCAAGAAGAATAAATATAATCACCTTTTGTCAAGAATTTGAGTTAATCAAATGAACTTTATTTTCCTAATGTTGATACACCTTACAAATTCTTAACAGAATAAATCTTTATGTACGAATCCGAAATACTTGAATTAACCAATAAATTGTTAGTCAAAAGTTTGTTTTTGATTGGCATTGTCATAATCTTACGTGTATGCAATTCATATTCATTCAGTTGCTTTTTTCTTTTCATATGACTAATTTACTGTAAAATATTTCATATATAAAATTTGCTCAATTGATTGACTATACTTCTGATATTGTCTGGTTTCTCGATAACTATTGATAATGAATGGGCGTATTAGAATAGATTTCAAGCTAGGGAAGTCAAAAACAACACTACATCAAATGATGTTATTCTATTTTATAGGTGATTGTCAATTAGGGTTTGATTACAATTCATAATTCTTCCCTATATACTTGTAAATTTATTTCGAATATTTGTACTAACCAATATATGTCAGCTCAATGGAAAGTAGACAAAATTTCCATAAAAAGCGACCAAATTTCTTACTTCATTATCGAAATCTTGTTTATCTTGTTCGCTCTGATTTATAAGGTCTTTAATAGCTTCTTTATGATTCAGTGTAAGATCCCTTAGCTCCTTATCAGACAATTGTCTACATTCAGTCAACTGATTTCTCAATCTGGATATTTCGATTTCAGATGCCTCTTTTGATAGTTTCATCGCCCCTTGCAATTCATCTTCACGTTTCTGTAAAGCCTGTGAGGCTTGCTCACGAGCCTGAAGTCCACGTTCAATTTCATGTTGAAGGTCGGCCTGAGTGCGTTTCAGTTCAACTAGTAGTATGCGAAGATATAATAAAACAAACATTTAAACTTTAATTGGAAATACCGTAAAGCAAATTTGTGAAATTTACCTATCAGGATATTATTATTGTCACGATATTAAACAAATAACACCTTTGATGCAATATGAGCCATTAAATTATGTGATTATTGTAAATTTCAGTATAGGCAAACAACCTTAAATAGTTCTGTTCTGTTAAAATGTCTACAGTTAAAAAATTATGATAACACTTTTAGCTAAAGTAGTGTCAAAATCAGGAATAATGCTAATGGCTAACAATCATCGGCAAATTATGCTCTAAAGTGAAAGTTATATTTATTATCATATAACTTATTAAAGAATTTTTGAAACATTGCTCAAAACTGCATTGTATAAGTCTAAGCATAAAAATAGCGAATGGTATTGAAGAAAATTAGTTGCATATTGTCGCTTCTATTATATTTGTGGCGATTCTGTTGTGTTCTAGGTCCAACTGCGTATCCTTGGAAACAAGAACTAGTGTAATCCCCATGACGTGATGTAAAAAAACAAAGACTGGTATAATTAAACATTTATTGACTTTACAAAAACACGACACCAAAACAGGTCATCCAATATCATAGCATGATTAAACCAAATATGTTCATTCGGATACTGATTTTAAAAGCTTTTGATGAATAGTTAGTAAGCATCGCATAAATGAAAACATACATAGCGTTGCTGTAAAACGCACAGGAAGTTCACGTGGAATAATCTAAGATATATGATTTTCATCGCTGACAAAAGTTGACACTTGTCATCCTGAACGAAATTCACACTTAATTCCTATAAACATGTGGGCTTCGTTGAAATTGTGAACAGATCTAAGTTAGACTACCATTCAAAACTTGGGAGTACTGAATGGGCGTCCTAGTATGAAACTCTTCAGCAATGCGCATTCGCGTCCCCTCACGCGGGATCCAAACCCAGGAACTTCGATCTCAAACGGAAGCACCTAACCTCTAAACCATTGAGCAGGCATCTGAATAAGCTAAAACTGAAAATATAAAACCAATATGGTACTGATTAAAATCTTACACTGAGGATAAAACCAGTGTCAAGATGTTACAGTGTGAGTAAAGGTAACACCATGAAATGTTACGCCGAGTCGATAAAAACGTGAACTCGCCTTTTTAAAATCAAAACTTACCCAACAAATTTTCTCGTTTTAGATTTTGTTCTTGTAACTCATTTTCTAATAAGTCTCTTTTAGTTTCCAATTGCATTATCTGTTGCTTGGCTTGATAGTAGTCAGCGTCTAAATTTTCATGCTCTTTTTTACTCGCTACAAGTAAATCGCAAGTTTGATTTAATTCTCTACTAAGTGCAGTGACTTGTGTCGAAAGTTCACCTTTCTCTTTTGTCAAGTCTTCTTTTTCTCTATTCAGACGTCCGATGACATCACGAATTCGTTCATAATCTCTATTCTTTTGGATAAGTTCATTAGTGAGACCATTTTTTTGTCTTGTAACAGCATTCAGCTATAAAAATACGAAAGTCTTTTATCAAATTTTTCGAAAATAACCGTTTTAAAATTACCTTGTTAACTGTCAATTATTGGTATTAGTGAAATCGTGGTTTTTATTTCCAAATAGAGTTTTCAAAAAGTCATTTGATTATGTTATCAACATAATGTTCCATTTTCCTCATTGTTGAATGATATCTCTTCATTCCATATTATCTAAGACTAGCTTTGTACAGTTTTACGGTTGATAGTAACCATCAGTGTTACATCTTTAAATAACCAGAAGGCTTATGAAGATGAATTCACACTAAAGATATTAACAGATGTTCTTCAGTAGAATAATTTCTTTGAAATTTAGTAGATATTTTGAAAAATATTTGTATTGAACTGAATGGGAGAAAAATTATGAGTAACTGTAAAAAATTTAAGCAAAGACGAATGGTGACTAGCAGTGGAATTCGGCATACATGTTTTGTTCCACTTGGGACTCGTCAGTTGGATGTACGTGGATCCCACAGTCGGTGTTCATCCCGGAGCTCTGTCCACTTCAAACGTCACCCCGTTGTCCACTTAACCACTGAGTTCAAATAGCCAATGGCTTAAGCAATGGGACGAAGTTTAATTTATATATTAGTTGTTTGAATCTTACCATTGATAGTTTTGAGTGCAATCGATCTGTCTCTTATTGGCATGTGTGCATCCCGTGCACATCGTCTCGATATTGCCACTAAATCACTTGGATTCGAAGCACAGATGGATGATGTGATGGTATGTGAAGAGAAAGATTCTAGGTTAGAGTCCCAGAGTGAACATCAGCTCTGGATTTCAGGTACATTCAACTGACGAGCTCCAAATAGAGCGAAACGTGTATCGTGGACTCCACTGTTGGCCACTATCCATCTCGGTTCATGAAGTTTGTGACTTAAGGCAATATCGAACCAATCCTCACAGGATGCACATATGTCAATAAGAATCTGATCAGTCGCAGTCTTTAATTGTCAGTGGTAAGATTTAAACAAGATGAAACGTAAGTAGCATTTTATGTTATGACATTGAATATGAATGTGAATTTTCTGAAGGGGTAGATCATAGCTTACTCTATTTAATATGAACCTTTGAAATTCGTTAGTTTTCGGTTTTAATAAATTGAAATTGAGAATTGGGTTATGGTCATTTGGGAAACTTTGATTTTTTGAAATTTAAACCAACCTATTGCTATCCGTAAACTTAATTTTTGAAGTTCCAAATCCGGTGTCGTAAGATTATAACTGAGTTAGAGAATATCACAATCAAATTTTATTGCTACTATCTCTTTATATTTCAAAGTCATATCAAGAAAACTATTGAACAAACTTCAGAATAAAAATAGAGATAAGTATTTTAGAACGCAAAATAGATAGAAATTCCCTAACTTACTTGCTCCGTAATTTCTAACTTTTCTCTGTTCAGGCTGGTGATTTCTTCTTCCAGTCTTTCACGAGCAGCTTCAGACATGGTTAAAGATTGAGAAATGCTATTCTTTTCGTAAATCAGTTCATTTTTTTGTGATTCCATTTGAATAAGTTCTTCTTTCAGGCTAGAACGATCTGCATCAGCATTTCGATAGTCAGATGCTAGCTGGTTGTATTCCGCTTCCTGATTTCTTAATTGGCTCTGCAGAATTGACCTCTTGTTGGAGGCCTCTTCTAATTTACTCTTAAATTTACAAAGAATTAATTTCTTAGGATGAATCTGGGTGTAATTTGCATTTTCAAAATAGATTTGTCATTCCACTTCTTTCAGAGTGATTACTTAATAAACAGTGATTGGTTATGGATATGTTCTTCGAAAACCTTCGTATCCATACTTATGATATTTATATCTTAAGCAGTTAATATGCACTTTCAAAGTAAATGGAACTCAATATATCATTACTTTCAGTTGTTTTTTTTCATTAAAATACTAGTTTAATTTAATGAAGTCTTGGTTTCATTACGAAAGTAATAAAAGAAGGTGAAAAATATGTTAATGCAAATAGATACCTGAAACGGTTTGTATGTAACTTCCAGTACAGTGATAATTCTTAAAAGGACACTTTCAATAAAACATTTAAAAAGGGTTAATTAAATGATAGTTTGGGTTTACTTAGAAATTGTATCTAGCTGCTTTATCTGTAATACCAAAAAGATTATTAGCTCTTAATTGTATACATGCCGGGTTTTGTTTACAATGTAGCTATCATTTATGAAGAATAAATGAATCTGGCAAACGCCATTAAGTTAAACAGTCTAGTTTTATAACCGATAGTCTCAATTTTAATCTTAATATACAAAGCAAAAGATTGTTGAAAACAGTAGAAAATGAATAGAAGATGAATGTACTAATCATTTAGTCCTACCTATTTACCAGCGAGGAAATATAAATCAAAGAATTGTAGACAAGAAATAACCGACTTCAAAACATGGAACATTAAGACATGTGACGGGGATGAGTGACTGTAACGTTACTATTCTTTAACATAAATAATGTAGAGACTTAAGTCTAAGCCTGAATATTGAGAGTAAACCATTTACTTGCCATTTACATGGCCATTTAGATTTCAGTCTTAGTTTGATATATAACTAAAAACTTGGACTAATTTTAATTTGGTTATTTGCTCTCTGAAGAAGTGGCTTACACTAAGTCACGAAACGTCAGAAAATCTAATTTTCCACTCATTGGGATATTACAAATATATTATTTTTATTTATAACAATCAACCCAATGCTCAATTTATTCGAAATTATCAAATCAAACCTTGGTAATGATACCTACTTAGTTTGATATACTTATCATCCGTCATTTTAGCATAATCAGTTAAATGTTGGAGTGTAATAGTAAAGTAATTAAATGTACCCAAAGACACTTTACTAATCCTCATGATGGATAATATTTATTTTAAAATAGTTCAAACCAAAAAAACATTTCAGGCGCACAGTACAACATAAATTGTAATAATTCAATGCACACAAACACTATACCTTTATAATATACTTTTAGTTTATCTGTTGATTCACTAAGTTTATGTAACACAGTTTGTTTATATCACCAAACTGCATGGTAAGTTGATGAAATTTTGGTGGATAACTGAATTATTTCCCGAGTGAATAATGATACAATTAAGATTACTTCAATAGTAAATAAGTTGAATGATTTATTAGTCCCTTGCAGCTACTCACTGTCATATCCTATCTGTATTGACTAAACATTTGAAATCTAGGTTAGTAACTGAGTCAGGACAAATATCGAACCGTTTATGCATCAAATCGGAAAATGATATCAAGATCTACTGATGAAAAGCAAATTTACAAGCACATGAATGAAACTAGTCGACCTGGTTAGCCAGATGTAATTGTAGATTATATTATTATTATTATTATTATTATTATTATTATTATTATTATTATTATTATTATTATTATTATCATTATATTGACTAGAACTGATACATTAGTTCATTGGATTGAAGGGATATGCTAGAAAAATATTAAATATCTACTTAAGTAAAGAAAATTCTCATAACTTAAATAATCAAAATTTTGAAACTCAGTAATAAAGCAAATCAAGTCGCGTCTAGAAATTATTTACCTTTAGACAAGAAGCCCCTTTAAATATAAACTAAAATGGCAAAATTTGACATTTCATTATTTAAATTTTACCTGAAATAGATGGTCGCTATATCATGATGAGAAGTTCTAGAAACTAAAATTAATGTTATTAATGGTAACATTTTTAACACTGTTCGTAATAACTAATAATCAAGACTGTTAAATAGGGTATTTTATATAATTTAATTCTTTTAGTTAAAGTACTGAGAAATGCAAATGCTTGTACTAAAACAAGTAGAAAATAATTTTTATTACTATGAACTAATAAAGAAAATTGGTAGTTTAGTTTCAATAAAACATAATAAGATGTAACCCTTAGGGCTTGTAGCGCTTTTACCCCTTAGCGTTTACATTCATTTATACTTACGTGAAATAAATAAACTCCTTAGAAGTTGATGAAGTACTTTTAATCGATATAGTGATGAATGTTTGTTATAACAATGATAATAATAATGATAATAACAATTATTGTTACTTGAAAATATTATTGACTTATTTAGCCTTTCATAATTTATAGTGTATGACCACGTAAATAAATGTGGTTTATAGGCTACATAATTTAATTAGAGTAGTGTTATGGATTTTGAGTAACTTGTTGTTTAAAATAAAGAATTAATTTTTAAGAAAATAATTAGACCATGATATGAGATATACTGAATTATTGCCAAACACATAGTTGAAACAGGTCATAAGATTGATCTTAACTCGGTTTTTGTGTTGTACAAAAATGTGAACGGACGTATATTAAAGTTTATTGAACCTTTAGTCATACGAAAATTCAAACTTCCTATATGTATTCAAAAATGGTTTGTTCTCATCTTAAATCTACCCTGGTAATATTAGCTTATATCCAGAGTGATGAGGTTTCAGATTCCTTTGACATTATTTTCTTTATTATTCATGTGTCGTCTTACCTTCCATTTCTAGTCTAGTTGACCTATTATTTTTATATATATAAATGTTCTTAACAAGTATATATGTGATCAGATTGTTCAAGATGTATTGCGGTAATATATATTACGTAGTTCTGATAATCTTCGTCTTTTTAGTACACTATCGAAATTTATCAAAGTGACCCAATGCTTCAAATGAAGCATTTGGATTTAGTGCTGTTAGATATTAGTACATATAATTTCTTACCACCTCAACTAAAGAGTTTATTAGATTAAGAATTGGTGTTAATTCAATTAGTTCTAATTATTTACAAAAGCAGAAAATTCTGCAAGATATGCAGTTCACATTTTCGTTTCATTAGAACATGAGTTTAGCTTAACTTTTTAAAAGTCAAACGACCAAATATTGATGTGTTGCATATGAATTTTATTTCTTGTCCAGAATTTAAATATTTGGTGTGCTTATCGTTATTATAACGTAAAGTTTTAGATGTTGAGTCATAACCAAGATCCTCTATGATTTTCAACATTGTAACGTAGTCAATAAAAAAGTTTTAGTTAAAGAATATACCTGGCACTTGGACAAATGTTCACCTAGTGCCGCTTCATCCGATCGTAGTCGAACTATTTCAGCTTCCTGTTCTGCCTTGCGTGTTTCAGCTCGTGATAGAGCGTCTTGAATGTCTGCTAATTCTTTGGCTTTGATCTCAGCTTCTAATTTGGCTTTCTGAAGGGCGCTTCGTAAATTTGTTCCTTCTTCGCGCTCAGCTGATAAACGTTCCTCAAGTGTATCAATACAACGTTGACAACGTTCAGACTCTCTTAAGCATCTTTCAGCATCACGCTGAGCACAATTTAATTCACCTTCTAATGTGTCTCTGTTTTTACGCAACTCATTATATGCATTTTGAACACGTTCGAGTTCGCTCTGCAAGCTTTTTAGTTCGTCAGATGTATTCGTATGTAATCTTTCGAGATCGGCTCTTTCGTTATCCAGAGTTTGAACATTTGCTGTAATTCGTTTTACTTCTCTTCCCATATCTTCTTTCTCTCTTCGTATATTGTCCAGTTCTGCACGCATATTCATTAGTTGACGTTCTAAGTTTCTTCTTTCATTTTCACTATCGTCTAACTGGTGTTTAACCGAGTCACACTGATCTTTAGTGTTGTTCAGCTTGGCCGTTAATTCAGAAACCTAAAATAGTGAACAAATTCTATTTTAAGATTTTAGTTTGTGTAATTTGTACTTTCATGAAACGATTCAAGAGCGAAGTTATTTCACTAATGATTGAAAGTCTTATTACTAGTGTGTGTTTTCACATTTTAAACACACAAAAATGATTCTTGATCTATTAAGACGAAAATGTTTTTAAAGTGCCATTATCAAGCTAGATATCGAAGATTCAATCAAATAAACTAACTTGGAGTCCACGTTTACGAAGTGCAGCCTGAACAGCAGATAATGCTGAATCACCCCAATAACAAGCACTTGTACTGTTAACTGGTGGTGGTGGTGATCCGGTGCGACCATACGCTCCTGCCCTTGAGTTATGGAAACTATTAGTTATCATCTTTGGATTCGAAGCATAGCATGGTGAACGGGATCGCGACTGATGAAAACAACTTTCAACACCACCAAAGGCCTCAGATGGCACGATTTCATCATTAAGTACAGACTGAGAAATATCTCTGAGTGTCTGGTATAATGCTTGAGTTTCCTCAACAAGTGCTCTTGAAGAAGGATCATTGATATCTGCCCCTTCTGTTTTAAAGATTAGGGAAAGTTTAAATAAAAATAAATATAAGTAAAAAAGAAACCATTCTTTACACAAGCGAGTTTATGGTTACTTTCAGAGTCAATTATTTATCCTAATTATACTTGGTATGGCATTAAGAATGAATTTCGGTAAGTTACTGAACGAACAAGTGTAAAACATTTATTATTTGTGATATTGGTCATGAATATATGGATATTTTTTACTTATAATAAAAATTATTTCGTACACTGGAGTACTAAATATTTTGTGTTATAAGTAAACAGAAAGGTGAATAATTATTTATACAGACTAATCTGAAATATGTACGGCGTAAAGAAAACAAAATTTATTTTTCTGTTAGTAAACATGCAGTACGAAAAAACTTGTCACACTGGAAGATTTTTTCTCCCTACTCCATAATACACCTGGCTTAAGTGAACAAAAATAAGTTTTATGTAATGTATTGGTATTTATTCATGTATTTGTATTCCTTCCTAATATGTCTGATCATTTACTCAAAGTATGTAAATAATTTTCCAGAAATCCGGAGCCTCGGGCAACCATGTGAACAACCTTTGATTTCTGTATCAAACGAACAATGGAATTAGAGCTTCGGTCGTATTTTCGACAACGGATTATGTTTGTAGTCCAAAAATTACTATTAGAAATTTTCAACCTATTCTATTAAAGAACATTCGATAAAAGCGCAACCTGACTGCAGATTTCAAACACTTAAAAGTATTTCGATTTATTGAAGTTAACTATAATCAAAACAAGTGGCTTTCATGAAGTTTCGAGATATCAGAAATTAGTTTTATCACTTCAGTGGTATTTCATGTTTCCTAATTTTAAAATGTGATTGTTTCTTTCTATCTTATGTTTCGCCTTACACATTAAGAAATAATTATATTTAGTTTTATACCTAATTTACAAGTAATAAGCAGGTAATGAAACTGTCTTGTAACTGACGCATATATTTGAGTCTTGCATTTTAGTTGCTTGTAGGCGATGATCAGGAAAAATTCGATCAGTGTTTCGTATTAGTTGTCAATCTTTAGTATCCTCATCTGCAATCCTCAGGCAACTGGTGTTCCTTTTAGGATTTGAATCCACGTCACCTGAATGGTTCTATACGAAAGTGTTCATCTTGAACTACCAGGCATGAGGAAATATTTTTATACTATTCATATCAGTGGTTTATTCAATGAAGCTTACTAATTTTTTAATCAACATGTGTTTAACTTGATTATTTCCGTCATGATAAACTGGGAAACCAATTTAAGCAAATACGTATTTATGGTAATTTCCCATTAGGTTTTATTTACAACACAGAAATATGCATCAAAAGTTCAATATTATCTCATTTGAAGAAGATGAAGGCAAAAATTGAAAAGAGCTAAACATTCACGAACATTTACGTTGCTATTTGGCACTCGTCAGCAAGGCAAACCTGGCATCTAAAGCGAACTGATGCTCCCTGACTTGTTCGATCCCGTATCACCCAGCTTCACGGTCAGAGATGTTACCACTGAGCTTTACGGGCCGCAATTGACCTCCTGTAGGACTGAGATGTATTTATAATCGATTGATCACTGGGTAGTTGCCAATGTCACGTGTGTCAATAAACACGTTGTCGAGTCACCTAAACTAGTGGTTACATTACCATTTGGTCGATAAAACTCGATATGCTCAGAGGAGGACCTGACACATATGATGCTGGTCACTATCCACTGATTAATCAAATGTAAGCGAAGTCTTCATAGTTTGCAGACCTTCATTCACTAAGTTTAATAGAGACGATTACCAGCAGTATTTTTTGACTAAACCTATGCATCATTCTTTCGATAATTTACCGTATGTTTGGCTTTTTCAACTAGAACTATAGACTAATGGATCCCGAGTCAGTGGTCTAAAGGTTAAGCGCTCATCGAATGTCCAAAGATCGAGTTTGGTCTGTCGGTTCGTGTATGTCCGCAATGCTAAGGAGTCCCATGCCAGGACAAAACGGCCGTTCAGTGCTTCTAGATTTTCGATGGTTGTCTAACTCTAATTGGTACATGATTTCAATGACAATGACGTTCATCTGTACCTTTATATTTAGTTATAATTTTAACGTCAGTTCAATTTTACAAATTATTTACATCCGTTATTAATGATTCATGTTTGTTATTCTACCCAATAAACAAAAAATTCCTAACAAACTATATGTACAATTCCACGACTTCGTTATAATTATTATCATCACTATCTTTTCACTCATATATATATATATATATATATATATATATATATATATATATATATATATATATATATATATATATATATATATATATAATTCTCTTAATGAAAATAATTCCAATATTTTGAATGAATTACACTTCTTGATTGTAAAGACTCATCAGAAAAATCTAAATATACTCATTTGCTTAAAGTATGCTCTAAGTTAACGTATAATTTATAGTAAGTAACTAACAAAATAAAGAAATTTTTTCTTAAGTTCAAACCTTTACGTCCACACAAAGTTTGACCAGTACGTAGTCGTTGTAAACTATCAATTGTTCTATCTTTATCAGAAAGCTGTTTGTTTAATTCGTCTATTTGATTAATTAAATTGGTGATTTTTTGATTTGCTTGTTCAAGTTGTCCATTTGTTTGCTGTCTTACATTTTCACAATTTCTAGTTAATTCATCTAATTCATGTTCCAATTTTTTCTTTTCATTTTTCTCCTGTTCCAATGTGACCTGTTAAACATTATTAATGTATATACATACCCATATAATTAAAGTCATTAAAATTTATTTCTGAATATAATGAAACATATTAAAATCAACAGTTAAACACAATTTCTTTCTGATGTTACACGATGGAAAAATGAAAAAATTGCTAAACTGCTTTTTTTAAACGTGTATAAAAGTGGGAAATGTTTTTCGAAAGAAATTATAATGCAACATATTTTAAATGGTGGTTGATAAAATGAATCTATCGGTTACATCCATTAAAGGAAATAAAATCCAAGTGGATATAACAAAACAAATAGTTTCTATTGTGTGAATGATGTTTTTTTTCTTTTAAAGTTATGTATCAAGTTACACTAAATCAATATTCTTCATTATTTGGTAGTAATTTTATACATTTTATCTAATGATAATAACTTTTAGAAGTAGCATTTATTTCATTTTCATAAATACTGACAGCAATTTATTCATATAACACTATAATTTTATTGATTTATTTCTGCTTTATATTGGTTTCATGATTTCAATTGTACGTATGAACTAAAATGTCGTAATGAACATGATATGATAAATGAATACGAAACCGTTCACTTAGTGGATTTAAATATACATGTTGTTTTTTTCAAATGCTAACAACAATCATAACTTCGTTGTAAAGATTTGAATATTAAGGTTGTGGGTGTTATGGACTGCATTCAATCAGTTTTTTTCGGGGGGAGGGAATGTACGTAAAAGACCTAGCAACGACTGTGGAAAAAGCTGCCAGCGAAGGAAATATGAAACAACTATACGATACAACGAAAAAACTAGTAGAGAAATAGAGTGAAACAGAACAACTAGTCAAACATAAAAAAAGAAAGCCAATCACTGAGGTTGAAGAACAGAGAAACAGGTGAGTAGAACGTTTTGAGAAACTCTTCAATAGACCAGCTCCACTGGACTTAACGAACATCAAAGAAACACACACAGACCTTCCTAAAAATGTCATTCCACCAACAGCCGAAGAAATCACCATTATCATAAAACATATCGAGCGAGAGAGCAGCAGGATAGAAAAACATGCAGGCTAAAACACAAAAGCCAGAAATGGAGGTAATTGCATTAATGTTCCATGCTCTTTTCTGAAAGATTTGGATCGAAAAACAAGTGTCGACAGACTGGAAAGAAGGACATCTCATCAAGATACAAAAGAAAGATGTGAGCAAGTGTAAGAACTACACAGGCATCACACTATCATCGGTACTAAGAAACGTTAACAACAGGGTATTGCTGAACTGAATGAAAGATTCTGTAGACGACCAGCTTCGAGATTAACAAACCGGATTCCGTGTGTATCGGTCGTGCATAGACTAAATCGTGACATTACGGATAATTACTGAACAATCAGTTGAATGGAACTCGTTACTAAACATCAACTTTGTTGACTATGAGAAATCGTTTAACAGTGTGGATAGGAAAACCTCATTGAACCTTCTTAGACACTGTGGTATGAGTAGCTGAGAAGATCGTCAACACCATACGGCATTTATATGTCGGACTATACTGCAAAGTCGTGCATGGAAGACAGCTGACAGATGCATTCCAAGTAAGGACCGTAGTCAGATAAGGCTGCCTGCTGTCACCCTTCCTCTTTCTTCTGGTGGTTGACTGGATTATGAAAACCTCTGCATCGGAGGTCCTTTTCCAGTTGTCCTCCGTCTTACTTTCTTCTTCTTTCAGTAGGTTCTGTAAGGCTTGGAACCTGTTATTGAGATTTATCTTGAATTCGTTGAATTTATTGGTATCTCGTACGAAGGCTGTATTGAACCCTTGTAATGGTGTTTTTCCGATTGTTCAGTTTTTCTTAGGCTTTGGTTTCATCGTGGCAACTACTAGGTGGTGATATGAAGCTATATCAGCTTCTCTGCTTGTTTTCACGTCTTTCACTGACCTTCTAAATTTTTTGTGTCACCTATAACCATTTTGTTGAAGGCTCAAATATCTCGCTATTCTAGTTCCATTCTCTCATTGCATGTCGTCCCATGACATCTTTATATCAAGTGCTGTCCATATCAATTTTAGCGTTTAGGTCACTCATCAGGATGGTGAGATCCTTTCTTGAACACTTCGCTATGATTGATTGTAGCCTCGAGTAGAACTGATGTTTATTGTTGTCGTTTCCATCATTTGTGGGTGCATAATATTGGATAACGTACATTGTGATTCCCTTCTTCTTTGTTTTAAAGGATGCTTTGATGATACACGATCCATGAAATTCCCATCTCGTAAGTGCATTTCGTACTTCTTTGGACAACATCAGAGCAACTCCCTGAGTGTGTGGAGCATTTACTTCTTTGTGACCGGAGTATAGCAGCATCTCTCCTGTATCTAGCCTTTTCTGCCCAGCTTGGGTCCGATGGGTCTCGCCGATTCCGAGTACTGCCGAGTTGTATCTCTTCATTTCCGTTGCTATTTGACTGATCCTCCCGGTCTCCCACATTGTCTGGATGTTCCATATATCTATAAAAATTGTCGCTCTGGTTGTTAGAAGGAGCATCGGCCTCATGACTTCCGTAGAATCTCGGCTTTTACAATGAAGTGTCAAAATTTTTCCCTTAACTTCCAGGGCAGAGCTTAAATGGTTTGATTTGTCTAATCTGGTTGGCGTTTTTTAGCAAGACCTTTTTCTACGGGATGGAGTGCCCACCCCATCCCAACCCTCTACCTTTACCCGGACTCGGGGTCAGCAGTAACTCTAGAAGAACCACAGGAGGAGCTTCATTTAAGTATACCATCTATTAAAATGTTTTTACTAGAAATGAAAAACTTACCAAGAGCTTTCTACTCTTCAGTGGTTTTCGGCTTGCGCAAACAGTAATACACAGAAATTTATGTCATAAGTATCTGTTATAACGCCCGGTTTCCCACGTTTACACGAATGGGACGTTAACTTACCTTAGACGGATATCTACACTGGATTCCCTCCCAGTACCTATTTTACAGTACTTCAAGTCATCTGAGATCATAAATATATTTCTACACCAAAAACCGACAAAAAGCCGACACAATCCAACAGCAATCAGAAATCAGTCAATAATAATAATAAGGACAGGAGAATATATAACTCGTCTATAACGCCTGTCAGACTATCTACTAGTCTGGCTAAGCAAACAACCAATCATTATCATTTTCGCCCACACATCAGTATCTGAAATCATATCAGTTGAGAAAATTAAAACAGTAGTTCTTATTTGTGATTTTGGAACACATAAAACTTAAATGCAGAAAAATTTATAGCAGTAGGATTGAGGCTTACTGATGGTCAGTGAAATTATTATTTGTTCGAATAATATGAGGGCACAAAAAATGTTCTTGTTCGGGTCAAAAAACAAGTAACGTGCATGGATATGTTCCGCTAACTTTAGCAAGCTGACTGTTGATTGAGAAAAAGTGGAATGCTTCACTATTTCGTAAACCTCTACTTACTTGATATATTTGTTTTTAAAATATAACATAGTTATATAGTGGATGTTTTCAAATATATTTCATAATTTTTCGCAGTGTGCTACAGATTACTTGCGAAAGAAAGCCAAAACAGTTAGCCAACAAAAGTGAAAAGCTTACCATGTTTCTAGCTTCCATTGTGCGTAAGTTAGAAGCAAAATTTTCGCAAGCAGATTGACATATCCTCGATACTCTGGATAGTTCCACCCGAGCAGATCCGATTTCTCGTTCTACCTGACCCCTAACTTCAACAAACTGACGACGGCAGGCTACGACTGCTCTCCAGAGGGCAAGGAGTCTCCCATGTTCCATTGTAAAATAGTCGTTGAAAGCAGCTTCTTCGTTTCTCCATTCCGCTTCCCGTCGTTCAAGAACATCTCGTAAACGAGATGCTTCCTCTTTAATACGCTGTAAATCGGAGGAAAGCGTTTGGTTTGCATGTGTGGCTTGATCTAATTGCTCCCGAAGCATGCTATTTACACCAGCAAGCGTTGAAGCCCTGTGATATGAACACAAGAGAATCTAATCAAATGGATGTAATAATTGTAAGTAAAATATTTTAAAAGCAAAACTTCAGTAATTTTATTTTATTTTTTATTACTTTGTGGTAAATGTTTTAGATTCAATGTACTTGAGATAAAGCGTTGTGACCTAAATGCCAAAAATGGGAGCCTATTTTATGTGAGACAAGTGAAAATTACTTTTTCACGACGATATGGAGTGTAACATAGTAATTAATTACGCTTAAACTCAAAAACCACATTTATTTATATCATCGAAATGACTAAAAAAACAAATATTATATTTCCAAACATGGCCATAGTAACTTGTGCATTCAATCATGTATAATGGTAACATACCTTTGCTGCTCTTCTTCAAGTCTCAGAAGCGTCGCCTCATATTCAGCTGTATTTTCATCCATCCCAGCCTTAAGATAAATGAAGGATTATTCATAAAAAGTAAAAATATTTGTTAACGGTGGCAGACACAAGTATTTAACATTTTTTACTAAGTATTTATTCGAAAAGTTTAATAACCATTTCGACTTTTGTCTGGTTAATAGTGTTTATAATTGTTAGCATGGGAATTTCTGGAGAATGTAGGATTTTAACAGTTGAATTCACAAGTCGATCTAAGCTAAACCACCATTGAAAACCTGGAAGCACTGGATGGCTGCTTCATCCTAATATGGGACTCGCGCGCGAGACCTAAGGTCGTGAATGTGCACCGTTGAGGAGTACCATCCTAGGACGAAACGGTCGTTCAGTACTTCCACGTGTCCAATGGTGGTCTAGCTTAGATCGATTCGTGATTTAAACTGTTTATAATTGTATAAAATTAGAAAATGTGAAAAATCAACAGTTAATGATTAGAATAACTCAACCAGGTAAAAGTTACTTAAAAAACGTCATCTTGATAATTAGTTTGGAAAGCGAACTATTTAATTCACATTATGTAATCTACCTTTAATCAAAACACTGAGGTGAGAATGTCAGCTTAGAAGTCCATCTATACGATTCCTAATAGTTAATATAATTAGCGATAATTTATTTTGTTGTTGAAAATAATAATTTTAGTGAAGCATCTACTATTTCTAATTAGTATCATGCTCTTTTAATGAGAATAAAGTTTCTCAACTTACCGTCAATAAATTACACTACAA